AGTTGGCTCAGGCGACTCCCCAGTTGGCTCAGGCGACTCCCCAGTTGGCTCAGGCGACTCCCCAGTTGGCTCAGGCGACTCCCCAGTTGGCTCAGGCGACTCCCCAGTTGGCTCAGGCGACTCCCCAGTTGGCTCAGGCGACTCCCCAGTTGGCTCAGGCGACTCCCCAGTTGGCTCAGGCGACTCCCCAGTTGGCTCAGGCGACTCCCCAGTTGGCTCAGGCGACTCCCCAGTTGGCTCAGGCGACTCCCCAGTTGGCTCAGGCGACTCCCCAGTTGGCTCAGGCGACTCCCCAGTTGGCTCAGGCGACTCCCCAGTTGGCTCAGGCGACTCCCCAGTTGGCTCAGGCGACTCCCCAGTTGGCTCAGGCGACTCCCCAGTTGGCTCAGGCGACTCCCCAGTTGGCTCAGGCGACTCCCCAGTTGGCTCAGGCGACTCCCCAGTTGGCTCAGGCGACTCCCCAGTTGGCTCAGGCGACTCCCCAGTTGGCTCAGGCGACTCCCCAGTTGGCTCAGGCGACTCCCCAGTTGGCTCAGGCGACTCCCCAGTTGGCTCAGGCGACTCCCCAGTTGGCTCAGGCGACTCCCCAGTTGGCTCAGGCGACTCCCCAGTTGGCTCAGGCGACTCCCCAGTTGGCTCAGGCGACTCCCCAGTTGGCTCAGGCGACTCCCCAGTTGGCTCAGGCGACTCCCCAGTTGGCTCAGGCGACTCCCCAGTTGGCTCAGGCGACTCCCCAGTTGGCTCAGGCGACTCCCCAGTTGGCTCAGGCGACTCCCCAGTTGGCTCAGGCGACTCCCCAGTTGGCTCAGGCGACTCCCCAGTTGGCTCAGGCGACTCCCCAGTTGGCTCAGGCGACTCCCCAGTTGGCTCAGGCGACTCCCCAGTTGGCTCAGGCGACTCCCCAGTTGGCTCAGGCGACTCCCCAGTTGGCTCAGGCGACTCCCCAGTTGGCTCAGGCGACTCCCCAGTTGGCTCAGGCGACTCCCCAGTTGGCTCAGGCGACTCCCCAGTTGGCTCAGGCGACTCCCCAGTTGGCTCAGGCGACTCCCCAGTTGGCTCAGGCGACTCCCCAGTTGGCTCAGGCGACTCCCCAGTTGGCTCAGGCGACTCCCCAGTTGGCTCAGGCGACTCCCCAGTTGGCTCAGGCGACTCCCCAGTTGGCTCAGGCGACTCCCCAGTTGGCTCAGGCGACTCCCCAGTTGGCTCAGGCGACTCCCCAGTTGGCTCAGGCGACTCCCCAGTTGGCTCAGGCGACTCCCCAGTTGGCTCAGGCGACTCCCCAGTTGGCTCAGGCGACTCCCCAGTTGGCTCAGGCGACTCCCCAGTTGGCTCAGGCGACTCCCCAGTTGGCTCAGGCGACTCCCCAGTTGGCTCAGGCGACTCCCCAGTTGGCTCAGGCGACTCCCCAGTTGGCTCAGGCGACTCCCCAGTTGGCTCAGGCGACTCCCCAGTTGGCTCAGGCGACTCCCCAGTTGGCTCAGGCGACTCCCCAGTTGGCTCAGGCGACTCCCCAGTTGGCTCAGGCGACTCCCCAGTTGGCTCAGGCGACTCCCCAGTTGGCTCAGGCGACTCCCCAGTTGGCTCAGGCGACTCCCCAGTTGGCTCAGGCGACTCCCCAGTTGGCTCAGGCGACTCCCCAGTTGGCTCAGGCGACTCCCCAGTTGGCTCAGGCGACTCCCCAGTTGGCTCAGGCGACTCCCCAGTTGGCTCAGGCGACTCCCCAGTTGGCTCAGGCGACTCCCCAGTTGGCTCAGGCGACTCCCCAGTTGGCTCAGGCGACTCCCCAGTTGGCTCAGGCGACTCCCCAGTTGGCTCAGGCGACTCCCCAGTTGGCTCAGGCGACTCCCCAGTTGGCTCAGGCGACTCCCCAGTTGGCTCAGGCGACTCCCCAGTTGGCTCAGGCGACTCCCCAGTTGGCTCAGGCGACTCCCCAGTTGGCTCAGGCGACTCTCCAGTTGGCTCAGGCGACTCTCCCAGTTGGCTCAGGCGACTCCCCAGTTGGCTCAGGCGACTCCCCAGTTGGCTCAGGCGACTCCCCAGTTGGCTCAGGCGACTCCCCAGTTGGCTCAGGCGACTCCCCAGTTGGCTCAGGCGACTCCCCAGTTGGCTCAGGCGACTCCCCAGTTGGCTCAGGCGACTCCCCAGTTGGCTCAGGCGACTCCCCAGTTGGCTCAGGCGACTCCCCAGTTGGCTCAGGCGACTCCCCAGTTGGCTCAGGCGACTCCCCAGTTGGCTCAGGCGACTCCCCAGTTGGCTCAGGCGACTCCCCAGTTGGCTCAGGCGACTCCCCAGTTGGCTCAGGCGACTCCCCAGTTGGCTCAGGCGACTCCCCAGTTGGCTCAGGCGACTCCCCAGTTGGCTCAGGCGACTCCCCAGTTGGCTCAGGCGACTCCCCAGTTGGCTCAGGCGACTCCCCAGTTGGCTCAGGCGACTCCCCAGTTGGCTCAGGCGACTCCCCAGTTGGCTCAGGCGACTCCCCAGTTGGCTCAGGCGACTCCCCAGTTGGCTCAGGCGACTCCCCAGTTGGCTCAGGCGACTCCCCAGTTGGCTCAGGCGACTCCCCAGTTGGCTCAGGCGACTCCCCAGTTGGCTCAGGCGACTCCCCAGTTGGCTCAGGCGACTCCCCAGTTGGCTCAGGCGACTCCCCAGTTGGCTCAGGCGACTCCCCAGTTGGCTCAGGCGACTCCCCAGTTGGCAACCCCATGCGAGATATGGTCGACGATTGGCGTTCCCAAGCACACTGCCTTCAGCGGTTGCGCTGCCGGACTTGGGTCGAAATGGCCGAGTACCTGCTGAACCAGTTGATGGAACCATTACCTAATGGATGATTTCCTACCTACCATTCTATCCTCACATTAACAAAGTAAGTCGCCACATTTCTTGTTGTCTAAGTATAACTATGAAAGTTGTATTGGTTGTTTTTATTTTGATGGTATTCGTATCTCCATTTAATTGCGTACGTTTCGTTAGTCATACACATTATAATATTAATTCATCAAAATGCATGCCTTCATTATTATGCTTAAATGCAAGCCTAAACATACTTATTAACTTGCCCGTCATTTCAGAGCACCACGCACACAACATATTTTTTTTAGCACACGTACTATTGGTTCTCATAGGGAACTTTGCTTGTGAAGCAAATGGCCCACGTAAACTACATTATCGTTACACAAAATGTAAGACATTTTCCCCCGAAACATGATAATTTTATATGGTTCTTATTATCTAATTAAATAATTCACACAAGTTTTATAAACCCATGTGTTACTCGATATTTAAAAAAAAAAGGAATTTAAAAAGTCTTTAAAAATGTAGAGGTGATCCACCTACTAACACAGTGTGATGGACTCTATCAAGACACATTAAATCTGCTTAAAGTTATAGAAGTCCTAGGGAGACTAAATGGTCAAGCAATAGAACCTATATGTTTGCTATATCCCGAGGTGGATCTCCCCCCCCCCCCCACCCGGACAGCAAACTTTTTTTTAGGAAAGAAAACTCCAATCTCAAACAACTGCCGTCAGACGAAACAAAACATAACATACTTTACCCGCATCTGGACTTTTAAATTTTTTTTATCCCCCCCCCCCCTTCCCCTAGAAGTTTCAAATACACCCTACCCCCCCCCCCCCCCCACACACACACCCCGTAAAGTAATAACATAGATAGGCCTACTACTGACTGCACCCCTCCCTCCCAGACACTACTCCTCTACCTCTGTTAGAACAAAATGTTTCCCACACATTCAACCCGTTTAAGTTGGACTTTTGCAAAGAAACAACAACATTACTGCTAGTGTGAAGGCTCTTGCTTAAAAGAAGTACTCTTACAGACATACTTTAGACATTAGTCGCTCCTACTACACCAAAAACCTGGCTACGCCCAAGGTGTACTTTATACCCGCCGATTCATCCGACTTCAAATAAAATCAGATTTCTGCTTCAAGTTTTTAATCACCTAACACCATGTTTACAATTGCAACATGTATACTATACATATCTTTAATGAAAACTTTGCAATAAATGAGTAGCCCCCTCCCCTCCAACATGTTCTGATAACAGTAACTTGCGCCGAAGTTTTGTTTCGCTACTGGTGTATTGTGTACTTGTCGTAAGTGTAAACGCGGTGTAAGTAGAATCTAGTAATGAGTGTTGCAAAGCAAAACAATGGTCTGCTGATACTGATTGCGTCTTACTAGACAGTCTTATCACTGAATCAGACTACTAATGATTACATCGAAAAAACCATACAATTAGAAGCTTGAAGGATCTGCTTTTAAAATGATTTAAGATCATTTGTATACAGTTATAAAATTAATCATAGCTGGTTTGATTTAATCAAATCTTTTCCCGAATTTCGTCGGGTGAGGTAGTCTAACGCTAAGCCTGCCTTGAGTTGAGTACACTCTCACGTAGACTCTATGTATGATTTTCATCCTAACGCTTTTGGCTACCAACCTTTCTCATTTACATTTAGCCCTAGATCTAGATCTACGTAGCTATTACTATTTGGATTCTAAATCTAATATTTAGTTGCTAGTTACTAATTATGACGCAGTAATCTTTGTGGTAAAACCACAGAGGACAGTTTAGGTTACTGAAACAAACCAGGAATTTTTCTTTTACTTATTCGAGAAAGTACACTGCCGCTTTATTATAATCTTTGATGGTGGTGGGGGAGGGGTTACTTTACTTTTGGTGGGGATTTTCTGAAAACGATCCCTGAGGAGTTTTAACTAAAACACAATTAATAAATAGTTATTAAATAGGTCCATATATTCATTATTATATTTATGAATTATATGTAAATATGTAGGCTTTTGTGCTGTGTGGCTTACTTGTTTGTCAATGTTTGTGTTTGTATGGCAGTTTGTGTTAAATGAAAAAAAACCTACTATAAAACAGTTTCAGTTTCACTTTACAATGGAAAATTATAAGCTATTCCAAGTAAAGCAGTTATTATAATACAAATAAAAATAGTTGTGGCTAACTGTAAACTTAACTAGTAACTAGGCCAACTGAAAGTTTGATGATGATGATCGTAATATTAATTTTAAGGCCTATAGAATCTACTAGATTTAATAGCAGTAGATTTAAGGCTTATCTTTAAAATTTAATCTAATAGTTTTTATAAAATATTAAAGTTATAGATATTATACAACTATTGAAGAACAGTCTGTAGTCTAGGCTACCCAGTTCACATGTATGTTTTTAAATTATATCTGTCTATAATCTTGATCTTATTACTAAGAACTTAATTAATACTATATTATGGTAGAGTAAAAAAGTAGCCTAAGTTATAAAATAAATTGAATGGTAGTTTTTTAAAATAAGTAAGGCTATGTCATCACTATATTAAAAAATTAATGAAAGTGTTTAACAATAAACTATTATTGTATACCAGTGGCGTAGCGAGGGTGAGGTGGGGGGAGGGGTGACACCATTTAGGGGGGTGACATCAAGGCATAAAAGTTGCTTAATGTACACAAGAAAAATGCTTTTTTGCCTGTTCCATTAATTAATGTTAGTCTTTTAGGTTAAATTGACAATTATTATAAAGGATTTGGTCACACCATGACGTAAACATGTTAACTCTATTGAAAAAAAATACTACATCCAAATATATTATTAATGGACTATAGATAAACATGGTTACTATTAAGTCTGCAGTGATTAAAGCTTATTTACTTACATGTACGCGTATTTGGCATAAATTTAAATTATAGGTTGATGTAGGTCGACACACACACACATATAGAATATTCATTTATATATGTTGTTTTTTTTTGTGGGGGGGGGGGGGGGGGGGAGGGGGGTGACACCACGAAGTGCCACACCTGGTGACACTTTACCTAGTGACGCCACTGGTATATACTATATAGATTAGGTAAGCTTTAGTTTAAGCCTACACAATTTTAAAAAGTAAATTCTAGATCTATCTCTTGTCACATGATCTGCTAGTAATTATATTATAGGCCTATACAATTAGATTCCACTTACATAGTACATAATTACACCTTCTTTTTCATTGCTCTTCTGCATTAATATTACTAGCATATTTATTATTTGTATTTGTTTGTCCTACACATGTTCAATTAAGAACAACTGTTCAGTAATTTTAAGAATTATAATATTACTATGATAAGTAATTTTGCCTAAAATTATATTATTGAAACATTATTCAAAATATTTTTCTTCTTTGCTCTTATTTGTAATTTTGAAGGAGATTTTTGTTTCAACACAGTTAAATATTACGTATTAACATGTTATGCATGATGTGGCATGTTAGTTCTGACTTAGCTTGATTTTCTTCCTGTATTTGCTTCCATAGTCATTGTCCATCCAAGAACAATTTGCAAGGCAGCAATTGTTTGATTTTGGAGCTTTTTTGTTCCCAGATGGGATGCGGTCTCCAGCCACATATGCCCAGGAGTTAGCAATCATGTTTTCCTTCTCCTTTTTCAGTAATCACTTGCTTTTATTTTTGACTAATTATCATTAATTTATTTTATCCTACTCATCTAAACACAAACTTATTTACATTTGATTTCAGAATATAAAAAATGGCACAACGATTACCAGATCACGAATATATATTATACAAAGCTATAAATAAAATAATAGAAAAATCTCCGCATTTGGACTACACAAAGTTAGCTGAAGCAGCAGCTACTGCTGGCAGGGAATTTAAAGATCTCCTGCTCTCAAATAAAGATTCAGCTGTTGGTATAATATTGACTATATATACAACACAAGGTAAGAGCAGATTTAAGATACAGCAAGAGGTTAAAAAACACCAGGAAGAAGTTTCTAAAAGCATAATGTGCATTTAAAAACGTAAAATAATATTTAAACCAGATTTAATTCATTTAGTAAAAATTCCCTTTTCAAACCTTACGGTCTATGGGGCAAGTAAAGTAGAGTTCACTTGTTTCTGTGACCTCTGCATATGAAGAGACAGTGTGGTCAGCACTATGCCCAGCCGCCTTTACTTTCCCTATCGTGAGTTAGGTACCCATCAGAGTTGGGTGGACTCAGGGACGGTATACTGACCTGTACCTGGATCCAAACTCGAGACTTACGGGTTAGAAGTATAGCTTTCTACTGCTAGACCACTCCGTCCCATAATTCATTTAGTACCGTAACATAAAAAATAAAACTCTATAAATTTAATTCAGTGTGCTCTTCTAAAAATTTCTAGTGGGAAAACTATCTCAGATTTTTAAGGCACATAATATATAAATCTAAGAAGCCTGTTTTTAGCATCAGTTGAGTCAGTTATTAAAGATCTACATTTCTCATACCTATCTATTTTCAAAATATTATTATAATTATAAAAATAATATCATTATTGCAGTATATGTTTGTAATCCATCTCTTACATCTTCCATAACATCCATCTACTCATATATATATATATATACATACATACATACATACATACATACATACATACATACATACATACATACATATATATATATATATATATATATATATATATATATATATATATATATATATATATATATATATATATATATATACATACACCTGCACTGAATCTAATAATATTTAATCATCTCTAAAGCGAATTCAAAGAAAACAGAAGAATCTGATGTTGCACATATACCAGGTAACTAACAATGTTCCCCATTTTTATCTACCTACAGCCACTGATAAAACTGATAGGACAGTATTGAATCATAGGAATAGGTTTTTTTTTTTTTTGGCATTGCTGTTTGGGTCAAAGATAGATTAAAGATCAGGGTTAGAATTCCTTGCAAAGTATGAAATAAGATTTATATTATACTTTGGCTGCCCATTTAGGTCTTCTGTAGAACATTTATGCTAAGTATACATGAGAGGGAGATAATTACCATGTGGGTAAAAAAAAATTGGCTGGGTGGGGGGGGAGGTGTTGAAAGGATGTTTATTTTTATTTATATTTTTAGCATTGGCTGAAGAATCATTTTTTTCTTTTGTTTTTGTTTTTACATTTATATTTTTAACTTACTAATTAAAAAAACAATTGTTTTCTTCTTCCCTTTGATTAATCTCATATAGAGGCTGCCACATTTGATCCAAGATTTGATCAATCTGATGACATGGAGGTGGATGATGCAAATAGTTTGGAGACAGCCTCAGAAAACTCTTTAACAGATTGTGTACATTATAAAACTATCACTTACGCTGGAGCAAGTAGACCTATTATAGGTGCAATTTTTTTTGTATTTAAAACATTCTAAACTAAAAAATGTTTTTGTTCATTGCTTAACTTAGTTATTATAATTTGATTATTGATTGACTTTTTAAAAAATTTTGATTATCAATTGTTCATTAAAATATCCCTGCATATATTACTAAATATTGGTATCACAAAATTTCTTTTATGCTAGATCTAGAGATTTCCGGTTGTATTTAATGTTGCTACTTTTCCATAAAAATGTTATTTCATAAAAATGATTTCATGTTTTTGAATCAACTGAAGTATTTACTCTCAATTTGACAAATCTAATTTTATTTTTATTTATATATTCTATTCACAGCTGACAAGAATTCTATCCAGTGTGAAAACTGTTTTAAATCATTCCCTATAACAGAAATTAATACATGTGAAAGCAGCCACAAAACATGTATAGTTTGTATTAAAACTGCTATTCATACCTTCATGGATTCAAAAAATGTAAGAATTTTTTTAAAACGATATTTGGCTTAGCTTTACACTCAGTGAATGGATTAGACTGGTATTTGAACCTAGATTAAGCTTAAATATATATATAACTTACTAGAATAAAATATATGTAGAATGACTATTAAATCAATCAGTAGTAGGCCTACACATAATTACTTACATTATAATAATGTAATTGTTTCATAACAATTATTTTTTACTGTTTGTATTAATTTTTTGCTATTCATTTACAGATAAACTTGATGTGCCCTATTGAACAATGTGATTCTATTGTAAAATTAGGTTTGTATAATTCCATTTGTGTATTATATTTTTTGTTATATTTTTATCAATTAAGATGTTGCATTAATTTTAACTTCTTGATATGTTTTTAGATAAATTGGCAACTAGCTTGGATTCACTAATATATAATCAGCTGAAAAAAAAGATTTTGAAACGTTCAGCTAAAGAAACGCAAACTAAAGATAGCAGTTTAGAGAAAATTTTGTAAGTTATAACATTGTAGAATTTCTATTCCTGACCAAATAATTATATGTAAATTAAATTTATTCTACATCCAAAATAATTTTAGAATTATCATTGGATAAGGGTTATCCTTTTATTATTTCCTACCTTTGTGTATTTTGTCTTAACTTGTAATTTTGGACTTTGTATTATTTTATTATCACAAGCTTTGGGTTACCTTGTATGTAATAATGTCTTATGTTTTATTGTAGCTGATAGCTTTGTTGTTGTCATGACACATAGGTTGTGTTGTGCGCATGGAATAATTGGTTACAAGAGTTCTTTCCCTTATCCAGGTTCTATAACTTATTTTCTCCCCATATTCTTTATTTTAATAAACTAAACCACTAGTTATATTTTATTCTATTTAGCTGCTCTTTAATTCTATTTTGTCAGCATCTCTTAATAATATTGCAAAATAAAAACCTGTTCAAGATTTTAGCAATGCAAAAATTTCTCATGTTATTTTATTAATCTTTTTTACAGGTGCATGCGATGTGAGAAAGATATTATTCTACTAAAAGAAGATATTTTCTACAAATGCACAGGGTGTAAGGTAGTATAATTTTTTAAAATTCTGTGACATAATTAAAAATTAGATGGAAAAATTTGAGATTAAATCCTGGCTTTGTATACTAAACTGTATTGAATGGGTAAAATCTTTAGCTGACTCATGATATTTAACCAGCCTCTGTGATGGATTGAGGTTGGAAAGAAAATCCTGGTCAAAGGAACAGGTGTTTAGGTCAGTTTAGGACATGGGTGTGACAAAGACTTGGTTGGGCAGATTTAAAAGTATAGCTAAAAGTTTGTTATACTTTTACTCCTAATATTATACAATGTAAAATTTTCATACTAGTAAATTAACTAGCTGCATTTATATACCCACTAAAGTTAAGGACATAATAGTCTTGACTGGAAACTGAAAACTAGACTTTTGAGGATACACAATTTAGAACTGTTAGGGAAACATTTTAGTTTCAAATTTTTCGGTTACTAAAGGTCTGTGAATAAATGCACTACTTGATATTGGAATGTAGGACAAGCAATCAAGTCAATACACCACTATAGAAGCAATTGACTAGATCTAGATATATATGTATGACATGCAATGTTACTTAAAATGTGAGGCTAAAGTGAGTTGGTGATTTCTATCACCAAAAGCCATAAGATTTTTTTCTGGGCTCAGTTAAGTTTGATGACTTTGTGTCCACCCTGTCCTGATTGACATTGTGAAAAGTCAAGGTGGCAGAGCATACAATTACTCCACAGAAACATGAACATCTTCATCTGTTCTATCGACTGCCAGCTATATAATAGGGTAAACAATTACTCTTTTGGTCCATGGGGCACATGAAGTAGAGTTCACCTGTTTCAGTGACCTAAGAATTATGTAGTTAGAACTATGTTCAGCAGCCTCTACTTTTAATGTGAGTTAGGTACCCATCAGAGCTGGGTGGACTCATGGATGTTCTACTGACATGAACCCAGAATTCAAACAAGATTTTAGGGTTAGTAGTTGTACCCTCTAACATTTGACCATGCTGTCCCACATATATGGGTACTTAATTTGGTTAGTTTATTCTCAATAAAATTGTTTTGATTTATTGATAAAAATTAATTGTTGATTAAAAACCATATAATAGCATGAAGCATGCAGGATTTGTCACAGACAAAGAGAATCAAATGACAGACATGTTGAGTGTAAGGTACTACACCATGTTGGAAGTAAATGCTTCACCAATCCTGAAATATTTCCTGCAAACTGGGAGATGTACAGTGCTATGGCAAATGATGAAGCAGTTAGTAAACATTTGCATTGGGTTTTAAACATTAAGGGGTCAATCAATTTTCACATTTATAAATCTAGTTCTTGCTAGAATTACATACAAATGCATTTTGGCAGGCCATTTTTTATTTCCAAAAATATATCACTATATATATCAATATCAATTATGTCAAACTTAAACAAGAATGCCTAGCGTCACATTCAAAGAATGCACTTCATGTCAATAAAAATTAAGCTTATTTAAACATTAACCAGATTTCAATAACTTTTAAAATGTGCTTTGCATGCAGAATGCAATTTTGACATTTTTTAACTATAGGTTTGTAAATTTATTTTTCAATTTTCAAACCTGGTAAACAACAGCAGTTCTAGTTGGTGTATTTACTATACATGTACATAACACAATACAGGTTATAATCACATTTTGTTTGATATTTCTCCCACAGCACATCGTATAACACAAGGCATGTTTTCACACACATTTTAAGAATGCTAATGTAATTTTTTTTTTATATTACTAACTTTTTAATGCACTTTCACCAGTATTAATCCAATAGCTAGAAACTGGTTCTTAGACAAGGTGGAAGTTGCATTTTTATTATTGTTTCAGTAATAATCATAAATATTTTGAATTGCCAGACATTCGACTTGCTGTGTAGTGTTAAGCTCAACAGTAGTGAGGGGCTAGCAGTTAAAGATATGTTTTCTAGGACTTTCTCCGGGAAAGCAAAGCTCAAATCAATTCAGCGAGTACAAAAACCACAACTATGGGAGAAATATTATTTGTGAGTAGAAGTTAAAAAAAATTTTTTTATTTAAATGTATTGTTAAATATTGTTTTGAGTGGTATGAAAATATATTTATAGGGAAAATGTTGCTGTAGGTATGTACATTCTTCAGAATTTAATTGTGTGCAAAGTATATAAATGTTAAAAATTAGTACTTCATTGAAATTTTACTGAAAAAATAAAAAGAAGTATATTATCTATGTCAGAAAACTAAGTAAATTGCCATTCTGAGTTTTTACTAAAATTGAATTTATATTGGTAAAAATTTACTAATATCTTCTGTACCTCAGGCCTAGTTTTATTTAAAATAGATGTTGTGACTTTTCTTCTTAAACATGCACACAAAAGTTGCTGTTAATTTATTATTATATTAATTTAAACAGGAAGAGGAAGCACATGGTGGAGGAGATAGGGCTTGACAAGATCAAAGAACGAGCACTCTTCCATGGGACCAAGAAAGAAAATATTGATTTGATTTGTCAAGAAGGTTTTGATATGAGAGTCCCAACTGCCAATGGAGATGTATTTGGAAAAGGTATTAATTATCTTTTTAAATAAATTGAAAATGATACTGCAATAAATTTAAGCAAAAAGTAATAATTTTAAAAATTAGGTAGTGTTGCTATCCTCACAAATTAAAGACAATAACGGGTAAAGTGGATGCTTCAACCCAAGGTTTTCATCAGCATTGTGTTTAAAGACTAAACAAATAAGACAAATACTTGCACAATTTTGATACTAACATATCTCAGTAACCTGTTTTGTAGCAATATAAATTATCTTAACACTACCTTTATAAAAGGATAAGGATAACCTTTCTGACCAAGTAGTCCATAGTGCAGATGAATAAAATTCATGTTTCTATATGACCTTGGCATATAAAGGGATAGTGTGGTCAGTTCTATGCCCAGCCACCTTTCCTTAACGTAAGACAGGTACCAATTAGAACTGGGTAGACTCAGAAACGTCCTACAGACTCTGGCCTGGAATACAAACTTGAGACTTTTGTGGTAGCAGTCATAAACTCTACAGTCCATACATACAGTCCCATAGGTTTTAGACTAAATTTGGTAAAAAATGATTAAACATTACTAAAATAAATGCAACAAAAAAAGCTTTATTACTTTAAGTTTTGTTTTCTTTAAACTATTTTTTTTTTCAAGTTCTTTAAATAAGCCTATTAGTAAAGACATAGAAAGACAACAACAAAATATATAGACAATGAGTTATATCCAACCATTAAAATTTAAGCACCACCATTACACAATTTATTTTATATTTCAGGAATTTATTTTAGCCCCTGGTCCAGGTACTCAAAAATGTATACAGGAGGATGCGAACAAATGATTATAGCTAGAGTCTTGTGTGGAAATTCTACTCTAGGGTCATCTGAAATGACCCGTCCACCAAAAGACAGTTCTGGAAGGTTTTACGACACAACTGTTGACAATCTGGACAGGCCACTCAAGTTCTGTGTGTTTGACAACAGTCAGTGTTACCCAGCTTATGTTATTGACTACTCTAAGAAATAATGTAGTGTTTTTGTAATAAATTAGGCATACATTAAAAATAGACCTCTTCTGTACTTTGGCTGGACATAGAGGGGTGACCACTACCTAAAAGCTAATCACAGCCCCAATCAAAGTTCTAGCCCTAATCTGAACCTATATGTACTGACTGTAATCCTAATCCAAACACTGAACATATACTTAGACTTAGAAAGTAATATAACGAAAAAAGTAGAAAATGTATAAGAAATTTTTTTAAAAATGTGTGAATATAAATATATATATATATAAGTAAAATGCTGAGATTTGTCTAAATCTCAATTTCAGTATATGAGAATGCAGGAAGGTGTAAAATGGCTAGAACTCAAAATCTTTTTTGATTTTTTTTTTTTTTTTTTTTTTTTTTGCACTATTACAATTCTACAATTATATACTCTGCACGCGTTAAATTAAACATATAATAAATTTTTTAACGAAGTATTCATTCATACAGCTGTTGAGTTCAAGAGAATGCAATGTCTCTAGATTATCATTCAATATTTTACACATTGTTAGTTTTGAACTCTACTAAATGCATAGTGACAATAAAAATTAAGGTTGTTTCAAAAAATAAAAATAATTGTAAAACCTGTTTATACCACTGTTACATCTGTACAATGTTGTATGTTGCATATAAAGAATATTTTTGTCTCTATCATCACTGTAAACAACACTAATATTTACAATGAATTCAATGAATATTGAATTTATTTTGCTTTTCAATAAAGTGGTTGACTAAGAAACTTCATATTTTTTGTGTTTCTTTTAATACAAATGTTGTTAGCAGGTCATTAACATATTGTTAGTATGTTGTAGTTTAAAGAAGTTAATCTGATTCAGTTCCCTCGTTGACTAAAGATAGTGCTGTCAGTTTTATAATCAGGGTTTTTTATTTTTCCTAACAAGAATCAGGTACCCATGAGAGCTGAGTGGACTCACAGTCATACGTCTAACATACTAACAACACTGTTATGATAAGAAGCTTTTAATATGCAGAAGAAAGAGAGAAACTATGATGAGTTTGATTATATTTTGTTCTGAAATGACTTTGTTTCAGAAATGCTTAAAAAGACTAACACTTTTATACAGCCTACTATGAAAAATTTAGCAGTTTTTACAGAGCTTAAAAAAAATTACTTTGATTTATACTGAAGTAAAATCGTGTGAAGATGTACAAACATAATTTTTTTAGTGAAATGTTTAAAATATTTTTTTTCTTCTGCTTTCTTAATTTTTAGTGTTGGAAAGAATTCCCTTCAACACAATTAAGCATACGTGTCAAAACACGATTTGGGAGAAAGCTTTGGTCAGTAAATCAAGTGAATGTTAATTTATTGAATTACGACGTAAATTTTTAGAGAAATATCCAAATGGGTGTTAAAATACTGGGGAATATGTGTATAAAAAACGATACACATCTAGAATATAATTTGTTATGTATTAAGTTTACATCTAAAAATTAATTGAAAAATAAGCGAAAAAACTTTTTAAAGCTACGAAGGGGTGTGGTGACGAGGGGGGGGGGGGGGCATCAATAAAAGACGCCATGCTTTTATTGCACAGAAATTATTTACACGTCGCTCCCACCACACCGAAAACCTGGCTACGCCCACAGTGCCAGGTGTACTTTTTACCCGCCGATTTACCCGACTTGGAATTAAATTAGACTTCTGCTTCAAGTTTTTAAATGGTTACGTTTGACCAAACAAAACAAAAGAATAGGCCTAATTTAAATAAAATGAATGTAGTAAGACTAACATTTGGTGATCGGGTCTTATTAGACAGTCTGATCACTGAATCAGTTTAGTGATTACATCGAACGGTGAAAAAAACGACAAAATAACACAAAACTTTTAAGGTCTAGCATACTTTTGTAAATATTATTTATTTAAAATCATTTGTTTACAGTTCTAAAATGAATCACCAGCTGGCTGGATTTTTATCTTTTCCCGCATTTCTTTCGTCAACTTAGGAAGTCTTGAGTACAGACTCACGTATGATTTTTACCCTCACGGTTTAGGCCCAGGCTACCAACTTTTCCCATTTTTTAGCTCTACGTATAACGTAGATATCTGGATCTAGAATCTAGTCTAAATCTAGTTGATGTTTATGATGTATAGTATTTTAGTAATTAGTATAGAATTAGATCTATACTATACTATATTGTCTATAATCTATAATTCTATATATTATATACAATTATATTAATGTAATAATAATAATATAAAGATCAGGATCTAGTAAAGTATAAATTAATATAAATTAAGTAGGCCTAGATCTATATATTATATTAATATATATTTATATTAATATTGCTATTCTTATACTAAGAACTATTACTATAAATATAGAATCCATAATTTACTATTAATTTAAATCTGTTGCATATAGATCTAGGCTTAATTAATTATTAATTAATTAGGGTTATATAATATCGATCTATTATATATTAATTATGTATGCTATCGCCAATGATATTCTTGATGGTAATCGACTGGATCATGCTGAAAACCACAAAAAACGACACAGGAATCCAGTAAAGTTTCACCAAAAGGCTAGAAGATCTTGATTTTGCCAATGACATCTGCCTTCTATCTCACAAGCATCAACACACGCAAGCCAAACTAAATCAGCTATCTGAAGAAGCCTCCAAAGTTGGACTAAAAATCAATAAAAATAAAACAGGTCATCAGAATCACTAACAGCCAGGACCTGCCCATACAGCTAAATGGAGAAGATTTACATGAAACGAACACATTCACATATCTGGGAAGCGTGATCAATAAAGACGGGGGAGCAGACGAGGACATAGAATGCCGTATCAACAAGGCTAGATGGGCCTTCAACTCACTGCGTCCGATGTGGAGGTCCACGGCCCTGTCACTTCGGAGCAAAATTGGGATTTTCAACTCAAATGTCAAGGCAGTGCTGCTCTATGGCTCGGACACTTGGAGAGTTACGAAGACAAATACTGATAAACTACAGGCATTCGTAAACAAATGCTTACGGCATATACTTAAAATAAGATGGCCAGACAAAATATCAAACAAAGTCCTGTGGCGAACTTTAAAGCAACAGCCAATAGAGACAGATATCAAGGCCCGTAAATGGGGATGGATCGGCCACATATTAAGAAAAGTAAAAGAAAACATCGCAAAACACGCTTTGGATTGGAATCCCCAGGGAAAAAGGAAGGTGGGCCGGCCAAGGAAGACATGGAGAATAACGGTTGAAGAAGAGGCGAAAACAGCTGGGCTCACATGGGCACAGATAAAGGGAGCAGCCCAAAACCGAGTCTGATGGAGATGTGTGGTTGCAGCCCTTTGCTCCCCAGGGGCCACAAAGGAATGATGATATATTAATTATAACTATATTGTTACAATATATTACATGGATTCTAGATTCTTAATGATATTTTAAAATATTTAATTTACTACTATTAGTAAGTTTTGTGTGGATCTTGTAGCTAATAATTAGAGGCGGCGTGGCCTATTGGTAGAGATCTAGACTGCAAACCCAAAAGTATCGAGTTCGAATCCAGGGTTTCAAATCAGTTGAACATCTCTGTGTCCACTCAGCTCTGATGGGTATCTAACTCACATGTTTAGGAAAGTAAAGACAGCTGGGCATAGTGCTGACCATATTATCCTATTGTATGCTGAGGTAATTGAAACAGATGAACTCTACTTTATCTACCCATGTGTCTTGGGCATAAATGGGAAAAGATATTGATGAATAACTAATAATTAAACTCAGCAAAGTTATAGTATACAACTGTATTAAACTGTACTGTACTTCCTATTTAAATTTTTTTTTAAATTCTGTTTTGTCCCCAGGTAGATGACATGATGCAGTCATTCTTGTAAAACCATAGGACAACAAGCTATTGAACCAAACCAGGGATTATTTTTTTTTTTAGCATTGCTGTTTGGGTCAAGTTTACTTGTAGGATTAAGGGTTAGTAATAAACTATTCAGATATATATATATATATATATATATATATATATATATATACGTATGTATATATGTTGAGGGTCTAGAATCTTATAGATGATTGGAAAATTGCACCTTGGAAATAAAGACCTTTGGCAGCAAGTTAAGTAGAGCCAGATGTTGCCAATATACAGTGTTTCTTCCAAACTTTATTTCCCGGGAAGGGGGCACTTTTTTGGGGGGGGGGGGGGGGGGACGACAACACTGTTAAAAGTATATATTTCTATGTAAATTCCATTTTGTGTTGGGGGGGGGGGGTAGACTTTCTTCAGGGCCATCCCCCTGAAGTGCTGCCTGGAAGAAACTCTGCCCATATCATATATCAAGCCCCGCCCCCCCCCCCCCCCCCCCACGCACACCCAGCTGATGACCCAAGCAGAGACACTACCTAATCTATATAGCTTGGCATCAGCTATGTCACAAAAGCTGCAGAAAGGGTACCTGAATTGAAATTCACATCACGTAAGGGGCGCCACTCCTGTTTTATTTAGTTTCCTCCCCTAGATGATTAGCTCTCCCCTTCCCAGTCACATGCCGGGAGGTTTGAACTCAGGAATTTAGATTTTAACAACCATCACCGTTCCCTCTCAACCATGGCAAGCTATATATGTATATATATATATACATATATATATATATATATATATATATATATATATGTATATATATATATATATATATATATATATATATATATATATAAAGCAAACTGTTAGTTTTCAGTTTAAATGTCTACTTTAATATTGTTTCTACTTTTAATTTATCAAATCACAGCTGTCTCATGTAACAATTGTTTCAATGCATCCACTCTTGCTGTAAGGGAATTTAATGTGTATAGCTTGTATTAAAACTGCTATGAGGACTTCATGGATTCCAGAAATGTAATGAGAAAAATATTGTTTATATGTTTTACAATGGATTGTATTAAGGATTAGAGATAGCTGTTAGCTTTTATGAAGTATTACAGTCATTAGAATCTCTTATGTGTTCAGGAACCACACTGTTTTACTCTCATTACTAATTTATTACTTTTCAGAGAAACATGAAAAGGCCTTTTGTGCAAGTTGATTTTGTTGAAAAGCTAGGTTTGTATTATTCCTGATAGCTAAGCTTTGTGCAATATATTTGTAATCAATAGAAGTGTTGTATTAATGTGCTAATTTTATCATGTGGTTTGAAATATGTTCACAGTCGATGTGGCAACTGACTTAGATTCACTTCTAAAAAACCAGGTGAAAGAAGACCATTTAAAACACAAGGCTAAAGAAGAAAAAAAAAGTAGTCACTTAGAGTGTTTTAGGTATGTATTATTACTGTAAAGTTTCTATATCTTATAAGGTAGTTAAGTGGAAATCATATTGATTCACCCCCAGGAATAATTAATTTTTAAATAAAGATAGGTGAGGGGTTGTATTTTTTCATGCACAATCTTATCATGTGTACTCTCATTTGGCCCATAGTTTTATTGTATTCATGAAAGTGTGTTATGTAATTTAACTTTAACATGACCTTTATTTTTGTTTTCTTAATGAATGGGTTATTTCTCTTGTCTTGTGATACAAGATGCTTGATTACATGAGTTAGTGCCCTTATCCAGGTTCAAATAATAACTCATTTTTTCCTCACATTTTAAAACAAATTTACTTTCCATGATAGCTCTGCCACCTTCCTGTTTATTTTTTCTTAACCACTTTTAAATTTAGCACCAACATATATAATTATCCAAATTAAAATACCTGTTGAGTATGTTAGAAATGTAAACAGTTTTGCTCATTGTCGTATTAACATTTTTTTTTACAGTTGTGTTCGTTGTGAAAAAGACTTTATGTTAGAAAAAGAAGCCATTTTCTACAGATGTACTGAATGTGAGGTAGCATTTTTTATCAATACTTTGGAAAATATAGTATAAATAAAACCATTCCATGCTAAATATACCTAAATTTCTACTGAAACCACTGACCTAAATTGCCTCAACATATGTAAAGAGGATCAGTGATGCCGTGTTGGTCAGAGGAAAATTCTGGACAAATAAACATGTCTCTAGGGCAAGAAACATTAGTGAGAAATAACTGTTTCTGCTTGTGTTGCAGTCAGCCTTGCTATAGACTTTTTATAGCTTGCTTTTTTTTTCTAAAGCTGAATTTTCAAGTGTTGGTTAAGAATTGTAACTCATTATAACTGGTTTTTTATTAGATAAATATGAGAATTTATTTAAATATTAACCTGTGTTTTGTATTTGAAAACAGTATGTAGGCATTTGGTAAAATAGAGTTAAGCTGCTTCTATGGTCATGGGATGTGAAAGGATTTTTAGAATAGTAAATTACTCAGCTGCAATTATTTACCCATTTATATCATGCATCAGAACTGGATGGCTTCAAGAAAATAATAGTCTTAAGCTGGAAACTAAAAACCAAACTTCTTCTATGGCCATGGGATGTGAAAGGATTTTTAGAATAGTAAATTACTCTGCTGCAATTACTTACCCATTTATATCATGCATCAGAACTGGATGGCTTCAAGGAATTATAATTGCCTTGAGCCGGAAACTAAAAACCAGACTTTTTGTTTCAAATTTCCAGTTACCATGTGTGTAGATGTATGCATTACTTGGTTTTATAGTGTTAGAAACAGTTCAAATCAATATAAAATCACAGAGACAGTGGACCATTTATGGCATTATGATGGTATTTTTTTAAAAAAAGACTGGTTACTGTGAGTGACCGCATGTACATTGTAGCATAAATAAAATACTTTACCATGAAATATGACAAAATTAAAATGTATTGGTATAATTAGTTTGTATTGGCACATTTTTCTGTTTGTGGTTTTCCTTTGCGCATTTTCTGTATGCGCATGTTTCGGGAACCTTGATTGAATCAGGATTAATTGTTAATTTTAAAATTTCCAACAGTATGAAGCATGTAGGTTTTGCCACCAGCCCAAACAGGCCAGATTAAATGACAGACATGATGGGTGCAGAATTTTACACCTTGCTGGCAGTAAATGCTTCACTGATCCAAAAATATTCCCTGCCAACTGGCATTCATTATTCAGTGCACAAATTTTGTAAGTAAAAGTAGTTCTGGTTTATATCGTCACCATTTGTGTGTACAAGAGACAGTGTGGTCAAATGGTTGAGCTAACAACTGCTAGCTTGAAAGTCTCGAGTTCGGATCCCGGGCTCGAGTCTGTAGGATGTCTCTGCCTCCACCCTGATGGGTATCTAAATCAGGTTTAGAAAACACTATCCCCCTATGTGCCAAGGTCATTGAAACCGATAAACTCTACTTCATCTGCCCTGTGTCCACCTTGATGGGTATCTAAATCAGGTTAGGAAAACACTATCCCCCTGTATGCCAAGGTCATTGAATCAGATAAATTCTACTTCATCTGCCCTGTGTCCACCTTGATGGGTATCTAAGTCAGGTTAGATACACTTCATTTGCCCCATCTTAGGCATGAATGAGTATAGCTGATGATTTGTTCTGTCTTATAGCTTGCTGTGTTTGTGTCATTGGACGAGCACGGAACTAATAATAGTGTCCTGATACGGTCCAGCTAGCATTGGCTCATGTAAAAAAGTGAAAGTATGTAAAGTTCCCTTTCAAACTCTGTGTATGGGGCAAGATTAAGTAAATTTCATTAGTTTCTGGGACCTCTAACTTTAAAGGGATAGTTTGATCAACACTATGCCCAGCCGCTTTTTCTTTCCCTAATGTGAGGTTCCCATCAGAACTAAGTGGAATCAGCTACGTAGCTACATCTTGAACCCAGATTCAAACTCAAGCCTTTCGGGTTAGCAGTCGTATGCTCTTCTACTACGCTGTCCCATTAGACTTACAAGTCTATTAATTGTTGGTTTGTTCTCATCATCTTTTACCATTCATGCCCAAGACACATGTGGCAGATGAAGTAGAGTTGATCCGCTTCAGAAACTTCAGTATGTCAAGGGATCGTGTGGTCAGCACTATGCCAAGCCACCTTTATTTTCCCTAACATTAGTTAGATACCCAATAGAGCAGGGTTGACTCAGGGACTGACTTGAACCCAGATTTGAACTCAAGACTTTCGTGTTAGCAGTTTAGTTCTCTACTGCTAGGTCACACTGTGCCATTTCAGTTTATTCTGCTAATTGAATATTTATTTATGTTTTTGTTATCCCCCAGTATTGTAGGTTGGCAGTCACTAGGCTGGCAGTGTCAAGTTGAGCTCAACAGCCTTGAGGGGCAAGCAATTATAGATATGTTTTGTAGTACATTTTTTAGGCCATCAAATCTCAGATCCATCATGCGAATACAAAACCAACAATTGTGGGAGAAATACTATCTGTAAGTGGAAGTTACAAAATAATGTTTAAAATACTTATATATTAATACTAAAATATATCATTTTAGGTTCATAAATTCACAAGCACTTAGTTCCTTACAAAGTATAAAAAGGAATTAGTTTTTTGTCTTACATATTATTAAAAAATAATTGATTAATTTAAATTTTATTGTAGAATAAAAACTAATTTTAAAAGATATGTATAATATAGAATTTATAATTCTTAATTTGTTTTTTTACTATAAATTTCAAGCAATTAATTGCTGATAATTATTAGTAATATGCACTGCTTAACCAAAATTATTTCAAATATGTTTTGCCTTTTCCCCTCAACCCCCTCCCCAAAAAATACACAAAAAGTTAATATATATATATATTAAAATATATTTTAAACAGGAAGAGGAAGCATATGGTGGAACAGATAGGACTTGACAAGATCAAAGAACGAGCACTCTTCCATGGAACCAAGAAAGAAAATATAAATTTGATTTGTCAAGAAGGTTTTGACATAAGAGTTCCAACAGCCAATGGAGATAAATGTGGGAAAGGTTAACTCATTGAATATTTTGTACATGTTATTAATAATTTAACTATTAAAAAATTTCTTACAATAAATTCACAGAATAGTAACATTGTTAATGATAAATTAGCACTATCAACTGAAAAAAATTAGTTCAAAGTTTAACTTTGTCATTAAGCAACCTTTACTATATTTTAAAATTAAATCTTTTCTTTAAGATATTTTAAATATTTCTTCAAATAATAATAGACCAAAAAATAAGATTATAACATCCAACCATTAAAAATAAAATTTAAGCATCAAGACTTAACAATTTATTCTATTATATTTCAGGAATTTATTTTAGCCCATATTCCCGTTTCTCATACCATTACACTGGAGGATGCAAATGTATGATTATAGCGCGGGTGTTGTGTGGAAATTCTACTGTAGGGTCCAGGGCAATGACCCGTCCACCTAAAGACAGCTCGGGCAGGTTTTACGACACAACTGTCAACAATCTGAACTGGCCAGTCAAATATTGTGTGTTTGACAACAGTCAGTGTTACCCAGCCTACATTATTGAGTACTCTGAGAAAACAAAAGAAAAACGAAAAGAGTGTTATTAAAGACTTTGTAGGACTACTTTGAGAAATCCAACTTAAAAAAATTGAATATTTTAGAATTTTATTTTACCTGATTGGAACCTAATTTTTATTTGCTATTTATGATTGTGTAAGCTGTTTAATGGGCATTGTGATTAGCATTTCACCACTATATTTTTTTAAAACACAAATTATTTTCAGTTTTCTTTTTGTTTTGCTGCCTATGTTAATTATTGATTGGGACAAGGTTCATTGGGTTATTTTTAGGGTTCTCAGTGCAATAGGCAGCAGTATCTTTTGAAGGTTGGTCAGTCCTCCATATGAACAGTAGGATCTTTCTTAGTGTGCTCAAACCATGTGAACAATAAGGTCTGTCTAGGGCTGGTCAGTATAGGACAACATCATTCTACATAAAGATTTTGAATCACTTGATTGTAAACAGCTGACACCTGCTGTCAATCTCTTAGAGATTCTAAACTTGAGATTAGCACTCAGTTGTTCACAAATGATAACCCAACCCATGACCCAGCTACATAATATAAGTTTGTATGACCCAACCACATGACCCACCTAACTGCAAGTCGCAAGTGGGTTGGAAATGCTCTTAAATCTCAATACATTTTGTGAATTTCAGTTAAATATCTTTGTTATTTCATGTTCACTTATCACCACCCTTACACACACATACACCCTGATTGAAATATGATGTTTAAGTAAGCCGAGGTTTTTTTTTATATTATGAGATTTAAAATAAGTTACGTATGTGTTGATTAGTGTCTGATGAGCAATAAAATGTGTTGAATTACAAGTTGAAAATTCATGTTGTATTTACGTGTGTCAATTGGTCTCAAGCTTCGTTTAATTTATTTTAAGAATGGATAATTAAAGTTTCTTCTTTTACTTCTTCGTTCTCAATTCTAATGGTGGAAGGGAATCCCTCCTACACAATTAAGTATTATGTGTCAACTTATGCACCAAATAGTCCATTGACACCAGTTTCAGCCTGGATTTGCTTTCCATAGCCTTTGTCCAACCAAGAACAAACTACAAGGCAGCAGTTGTTTAAATTTGGTGTTGTCTCTTCTAGAAGAGTTGGTGTCCCCAGCTATCAGGACTCATCTTGTCTTCTTTCCTCGTGTGTTATCAGCCATGTCGAATTAGGGTCAATAGTGATTGACTAAAAATTGATGCTTTGAATAACCTACCAGCAGAGATAGATGGATGCGTTATTAACCTATATATATATATATATATATATATATATATATATATATATCACACTCCCAGTGGCAGAGACCCACAACCTTCATATACATTTTCTAAGAATTACCCTACCCCTACACCTTTACTGAATTTTTTTTTTAAATTAAAATATATTTATAAATAAATGCCTATATATATTAAGGTAAAATTAGGCCTATATATATGATCACTGTTGTTAATTTGAGGGCACAATCCACCTATTAATTCATCTGGAAAAAATATCTTTTTCATTGTAAGTTATTAGATTTTGGTTTCACCCCCTCTTTTGTCATTGATTGACTTATCTGTTATTCAAAATATTCAACAACCTTTTATTCCTCTCTAAATTTTGCAGTAGGTGTAGTTAATAGTAAAGAGGGCTATCAGTTATTAATACAGGTGGATTAAGTCTTATTAATCATTAATTGAACTGGCAAAAAGCATATTTCTTGTATATATTTTGCAATTTTTCGCAATGGTCACCCCCTAAATGGTGTCACCCGGTGCGATCCGCACTCCCAGTATGCGTAGCCAGGATTGTCTCATGGCAAAGTCATGGAGCGGGTGGGGGGGGGTTCACATTTTTACCCGGGGACAAACTTTTGATTTGCACCCCCCTTCAAAATTTCGATTTACACCCCCCCCCCCTCATACTTTATATATATACCGAGGGGTCTATGGGGAAGGGGGGGTTATGACCCCCCTAACCCCCCCCCCCTGCCTACGCCACTGCGCACTCCCCCTCGCCTCTAAATCTAATAGGAAATAATTGCAAAGACTTATTTAAAAAAAAAAAAATTCAACTATGTAGGCTAATGCGAAATGTTTGTCCAAATGAAATAAGGAGATATATTAAATTAATCAGACTTTCAGATCTACATTGCTCCATGCCCCTATAATATAGATTTATGGGAGCGATAAGATACAGGTTTATAAAAGCAAGATATAACGTGCACGATTCCTTATAGATTCTACTTATATTTAGAAGTTTAAACTTTTATTTGGAACGGGTTGAATTTTAAACTTAAAATGTTTGCTAAGTTCCGGTTTTCAAAATAACCCTTTTTCCAGGAAAAGACTTAACTACTAACTAGCCAAACCTACTTTTACTTGTAAACATTATTTTTTTAGACCTATTACTATTTATTATTATACTATTTTATGAAATTGAAAATAAAAGTAACAGTGTACATATTACCTACTGTATTATTACTATTAATATGTGGTTTAATTACTAGAGATCTACAGTAACTGATCTAGTTCAAGATTAGAACACAGGAGTCACAGACAGGTGAATTCTAATTCAGAATTCTAGATCTAGAATCTAGATCTAAAATCTAGATTCTAGATCTAGTATTCCCAAAAAAAATAGAAAAAGTTAATTTAACAGTAGTTAGTACTAATAATTAATTAATTAAATTTATTTTAAATTTTTAAACTAAGTTAGTTTTTCTCATCAGAAATATTTAATTATTTAGTCAATTTAATGAAGAAGCAGTTGTATTATTAATTAATCTATGTCTATGTAATAATTTAATTTAAATAATGAATTTTTAATATCACATCTGATTTATGAGTCACTTTTACTTTACTCATAGTTAAGTAGTGGATCTAGATCTATTTGTAATAAAAAATAATCCCATTTGCTGGTTTCTTTTATAACCCAATACCTTTAACATTAAACTGTTACTGACCTTAACCCTTTGAGCCCGCCAGGCCGGTAAACCGGCTTCAACATTAGGCATATATGTCCGAAAAGCCGGTTTTCCGGCCCGATGATCTAGCGTCATATTCCTAGCGGCCGGTATACCGTCTAATTAAATATAATTAGCCGAAGACTGACTAAAACTGCGCATATGTCTTTTGAGTGCGGGAGTATGATTTTAAAAATTGATTTTTAGGAAAAGTGAAAGTGTTTACATTTCGTAGCAATGCCGCCGAAACGAAAAGCTGAGCTACAACCGTCGACTTCATCGCATAAAGTTGGTGCAAAAGATGAAGCAAAAGACCGAAATATCAACAAAAGAAGTAGAATGACTGCATCTCAGGCAATACAACTACTTATTGATTCTGATGAAAAAGATAATATTCCTGGTCTACATTGTGATGATAGTGACGTTGAATTTGAGACTGAACACAGTGATATTGAAATTGACAGTGACAATGAAACTGTTCAAGTACGTTCTGATGCACGTGGTGTCAAGGACAAAGACTTGCCGAAACGGAAAAAAAATGTTTACTGGTGCAAAACATGCGAATTTTTTCTTTGCATTGGGTCCGGCAGTGATAACTGTTTTGAAAGTTATCACACAAAAGCGGACTTATGGCGATGAACTAGTATGGCCAGGTATCAATAAAAACAAAACAATTACTAAATGTAAATTGGTTTCTTCTATGTTTTATCAAAACAATAATTATGTGTTCGTTTTATATACATTGTTCTGTTCAAACATTTTTTTTTTAAAATTAAGAATTTCAGAATCTTGCTGCATTGTTGTTTGATCCTGAGTCTGGATACCAAATTTGGCTTGATTATCTCAAACGGTTCAAAAGATATAGACTCTAGGCAAAGTTAGAAGCAGATAAGTGAAAATCGGCTTGGGCCTGGGAGCTCAGGAAATAGGAGAAATTAGGTCAGGGAGGCCAGGGCTCAAAGGGTTAAGTTAAAGTTTTTGACAAAACAGCCATACTGCAAAAAACATTGACACAACAATGTCTCTGTTTTTATGAGAGTATAGGGCTATAGGCCTATATGCTTTAAAACTAATAATGAAAATAATCTTTTCAGCTGGGTTCTTTTGTATCTCCACAATGGAAAACGAAGCAATGCATTCTTTTTCTGTCAATAAATATATTGATACATTAGCTTGGGTTGCTAAACTGCCAGGCGACACAATTGGACGTAACGAGAGAGATGCTTCCAGTGATAAAATAATGGAGTCTAATGCTGGTGCTTCTTCTACTGGAAATTATTGTAAAGAATATATAAATTCTGAGTACAAAGAAAGTCAAAAAGAAAGGATGCTGATAAATAAAACTTCAAGTAATAGCTTTAATAACATTATAATGAAAAATCACCAGATGGCAACTACAAATGATGCAGTGAAAAAGGAAATAATTCCTTGTGAATTTCCTTCAGTAACATCACCTGCTTCAGAAGTATCGTCTCTATCAGAATTATCGTCTCTTTCAGAAATATCATCTTCTTTAGAAACATCACCTCTTTCAGAAACATCACCTCCTTTAGAAAAATCAACTGCTCCTAAAACAGATACAAATATTGAGAGCACAAATAGTTTAAATAAAAACTGTAAAAGGAAATTGGGCTTCCCGCCACAAACATCTGATGTAGCTGCCACTTTCTGTAGTTCTGCTAAGGATAATGAAACAATATGGCCAGTGTTGATTCCTTGCAAAAAATTCGCATTACCCCAAAAAACTGAAAGCACAAGTGATTTAAATAAAAACTGTAAAAGGAAATTAGGCTCCCCACCACAAACATCTGATGTAGCTGCCACTTTCTGTAGTTCTGCTAAGGATAATGAAACAACATGGCCAGTGTTGATCCCTTGCAAAAAATTCGCATCACCCCAAAAAATCACCACCAGTAACAAGGTTCAAACCCCATATTGTTTAGCTGATTATGACGTATATATAACAGAGGTTTTTATACCACAACGTAGGGATCCCAACAGATGGAACATGAAAGATACCAAATTTTGTAGCCAGCCTCAGTCACATGATAGAAAACTTTTTGATGATACAAGTGTCATTCAAATAAAAAATGATTCAACTGAAAAGTTGATTCCTGTACACTCTGTTGCCCAGGACCGAAATGTGAACACGGTTCAAATAAAGTCATTTGAAAAGTCAAAGCCAGTACATCCTGTCACACTGATGACCTCTGTTGCACAGATGACCTCTTTCACACCAATGACCTCTGTTGCACCAATGACTTCTGTTTCATCAATGACCCGTGTCACACCAATGACCTCTGTTTCATCAGTGACCAGTGTTACACCAATGACCCCTGTCACACCAATGACCTATGTTGCACCAATGACCTCTGTTTCATCAGTGACCAGTGTCACACCAATGACCCCTGTCACACCAATGACCTATGTTGCACCAATGACCTCTGTTTCATCAATGACCTGTGTCACATCAATGACCTGTGTCACACCAATGACCTCTGTTTCATCAGTGACCACTGTCACACCAATGACCCCTGTCACACCAATGACCCCTGTCACACCAATGACCCGTGTCACACCAATGACCCGTGTCACACCAATGACCCGTGTCACACCAATGACCCGTGTCACACCAATGACCCTAGATGCACAGATGACATCTGTTGCAGCAATTACCTCATACAGACAAATTAGCTCTGAGATTGTACGTTTCACAGAAATTGAAATTGAACAACCGTTTAGAAAAGTTTTCTCTACAAAAAAGAGGGAGCTTGGCAAACTTTTTAATGAAGGTAGGAAAAAAATTTCTTTCTTTTTATTGAATACATGATTTTTAAAACTGAAAATAGATAAATGCAAAATTTCATTCTTTAGCTGTAGTAAATCTACATTTTATAATGTGCTTGGAATGAAATTTTTGATATACAAGTTGCTGTATGTTGTTTTTTTTTTTGGCAATTCTTGTCTGGAGTTAGCTTATGCAAAAAACGTTTATGTATACATGTATAAAAATGAGAATATGTATATATATATTTAAGTATGTATATAAATATATATATATATATATATATATATATATATATATATATATATATATATATATATATATATATATATATATATATATATATATATATAAATGTAAGTGTAAATAGTTATGGAATCTTTTTTAAGAAACAGGAAGCTGTAGCAATCAACTGACCAGAGCTGTTTCTAATCCAACTGTCAACAAAGCCCTATCCAGTTCTATGACTAAATATGTTACAGCTGACCGCCCAATAGACAGTAGCCAGCACACAGAAACTGGAGTTAAAGAGACCAAACATTCTGGACTTACAGCAGCAGTACCTCCTACTAATTACGTGGTAAGAAACAATCTTAACAATTTAAACTATAATGTATAAATATAGGCTAAATATTATATGTACAATATTTAGTACCTTCACAGCTTACCCCTTCAGACTTTACCATATTAGAGTAATGTTCAGAGTATACTTCAACATAACAATTAGTGTGGGCAACTTCTCAGCATTCCTAATTCCTTGATAAGATTCTATGAGAATATTTATAGATTGAATTTCTTCCGTTTCAGATTAAATTATTAATATTACCGTATTCTGATGCTGTTTTTATAATAACATTGAAAAATGCGTTTGAAAGCAAACTCAAATTTTGAGCTATATCAACTAAAAAGGGCAATTAAAATTTGCATTTATGGTTGCTTTAAGTTGAACTAAAAAGTTACAATTTTGCTGTGTAATGAGAAAATTTTCATAATTAAATTTTGATATTAATTTATTAATTCCTCTTTAGTAGATTAATTTTCTATTGAAATAAAAATATTTTTCCTGGTTATGTCTAGTAAAGCTAATTTTATATATATATATATATATATATATATATATATATATATATATATATATATATATATATATATATATATATATATATATATATATATTAAGGATACTCGTCCTTCACGAGCTACTGATAGTGTTTTAAAGCAAAAAATTTCAGTTGCAGCATTGTTAGTGTTGAATTCACAAATTGTGAATTACTGAAAAGTAGAATATAAACAACTAAGTAGCGGCGTATGCTTACGGCGTGGGTCAGCTCGTTATCATAACTTGAGTAACGATGTTTCAAAATTTAAAATAATCAAACAATTTTTGTCTTTGCAGTTATGTAATGTGTGCAAGTCATCTGACATTGACATCAAGTTTGCCACCTGTGGTAGCCAGCATAAAATCTGCAAGTCTTGTGTCCAGCCTAAAGTTGATGCTGTCTTTCTAGATGGGCAAAAGGTAGTTAAACTTAATTGAGTTATTAAATGATCAAATTCTATAGCTGTTGGCCATAAATCTAAGAATTCGAATGGGCTACAACATCAATGAAATGGAAAGTTTGTTTTGGATTTGAAAAAGAGTTGTTGTTAGTGAATGCTTTATTATCTCTAGATGCATGTAGAATTTACAATTACTGTTTCTTGTTTCTAATCTTGATTTTGGGGTGCATGTTATTTAATTTAAATTTTCAGATGCATGTTTCTTGTCCAGAAAGATTTTGCCAGGGAATAATTGCAATGGGTCAGCATATATCATAATTATGTATCAATAGAATAATTTTATTCATACCATTAAGAAAATTGGAAAAATATTTACATAGTTTTATTTATTAGGTTCTTTGATGACTTTATTTTTTATATTCCAATTATACCATGTTGTGCTTTTCTGCTCCTATAAAAAGATATTTAAATAATTTTTACAGATTCACTGAAATCCTTACTGGACAATCATTTGTTTAGCCTACTTACGCGTAAGATCCAGAAAAATGAAGAAGAGGCTTCTTTTCAATTTATCCAAAACATGGATGATGATTTTAGGTGAGAAAACATTAATAATTTCATTTCTTTTTGGATAAAATAATTCACACTTTTATTACCCCCCCAGTGCTGAAAGATATTCATTCTTGACATTACAGTTGTGTTAGTCCTAGTTTTACAAACAGTTATAATAAATGATTTTTAATTCTAGAATTTGTTGAATTAAATTTTTTTTCATCTTGTTGAATTAAAGCTCATTGCAATTAAGGGAAGTATTTAAATTGTATGGGAAACAATTTTGAGATCATTGGATATATCTGATATCATATTGATAAAAGATACAAAGAATAATATTTATTACTACAGTAATATTTAAAGAATGATTGTTTAAACTTTTCTAGCTGCCCATCATGCTCTTATACGATGGAATTAGACAGGGAGAGGCTGGTTTACACCTGTAGGAATAGATTTTGTTCTGAGGTGAGTTTTTTCCCTTCAATTTTTATACATACACATTTATAGAAAGACATAACAAATCAATTCACACACAGATATGTATATGTATTTAACCAAGTGGGCATGTTGTTGATTACTGCTTTTTGTTGTGTGTTTCTTGTTTCCATCAATCCGCCACAATCAATCATGACAGATGTGTGTAATTCTTTGTTAGGCTGCGTTTAATCCCTTCTTGCAGCGTTCAAATGCAACAGAGGTGTGTAACCACTTGTCCTATATGTATTCGTTCATGGCTTAGGAATTTAGCCAGTTACACCTCATTTGATACTGATACCTAATTCATAAAAAAATGAATATCAATCTGGCTGCTGGTTCGAGATTATAACACTTTATTTCTTGATGAATAATCACTGTTTCAAGAATAACTTGAACATCAACAGACCTCATCTCAAGTTCTACTGACACTGTTCACTCCATTCAATCATTCTCTGCAACTGTGCCCTCAATAGTACTTTTCTTGAGACACCTCAGTCACCATCCCTACATCAAACATGACGGCTATAAGTTGCATGTATGGTTACCATAGCCTAGGCTAACCATGTGTTTATCTTCTATCCGCATTCTGTCTCCTTTATCACATGATCTCTGCACCCAACCATTCGTTCTGTGTCTCTCTGTCTTTCTGCGCCTGAGCGCTCAAGTATCACTCTTATATACACAACCCAGAAATTGTACGTCTCTCTTTCTTACAAACATCTGGCACTTTCTGTTAAATAAACAAGTTCTATCAAAGTCAAACTATTCTTGTTCACTACCACTAATTGGGTAATATTTTGTAATGGTTGGGCCCTCTTTGTCTTCTGCGTTGGTTAAATGAAGTATCATTTATTTTAATGACACCAGTTACATATTAATATCCTGTTTATGTCATAGTTACATAATAGCTCGGTTCGGTTTTGGCCTTTACCTTGTTGACAGCCAAATATGTTGTTATCAATTACATTTTATGTAACTTTACATTAGTTACATATAAAGTTGATCCATATGTATATGCAGAACTGTTTTGACATCAGGTGAAAACTTTCTAAAGATTTATTTTGTTAATTTCTAGAAATGCTGTCATTACTGTAAGTGTTCTATGCGGAACCAAGACAAGCATGAGGAATGCTGGCTGCTGGACTTGGCTGGCACTGAGTGCCTGGAAATCTTTTCTAAACTTCCAGTCAACTGGAAATGGATTTCTCCCACAGGGAACAGCCATGAATTGGTTAGTCTTGTACATGTGATTCGGAATATAATTATAAAACAATAATTTTTTAGGAAACTTTTTAAAAAGTTTAAAATAGGAAATATTAAAGGGAAATAATTCTTTCAATTTACTGTGACATTTTTTGTAGTCATTACAAGCTTTTAATTAGTTCACAACATGCGTTTGTTTGTGGGTTTCTGGCAGATCTTGTAACCCAATGTTGATCCACTTCTAATATACTGATTCCGTTCAAACTTTCCATATACTAGGATGTCCATTTTTTAATCTAAGTTGACATCAGAATAGTCATTAAAAATTAAATGTAATCATTAGTATATTCAGTAATAAAAGAGAAGATAACATTAACAAGCTGAATCTGGTTTGGTCAAGGTTGGTTGCTTGAGTGTTGACCATGTAGAAGGAGCAGACAACTTTCTTTTGTTTTAACTATAATATATAAAAGGGGAGATAACTAGATTAAATACTATCTATCATGAAATTAGCTCGCTGTGTCACGTTTGGATGATTTCTTGATGAGTGGTGACTATGATGAAGGGGCAGATAACTGTCTTTTAGAGATTGCAAACTAGTAATCAGGTTTTAACCCAAATATTCTAATAAAATAATTATAAAAACCTTTATAATAAAAAACCTTTCAAATGCACTGAAAATAAAAAAATAAAACAAACTTTTTTAATAAAAGATTTGTTTTGTTTTCTTATTTTCTGTGCATTTAAAAGTTTGTTATTATGAAGGTTTTTATATTTATTTTATTTTCCTTATAGAAACACAGTTGTATTTGTCTGGCAACTTTTCCTTTTTTACCCAGTATTCAAGAATTTATCTGGTCTAACTAATTTTAAGTTAAAAAAAATGTTTATTCAGGTTGAGCTTGATGCTGCTAGTGCAGAATTTCTTAAGTGGGTGACTTTTTTTAATGCGACAACACACTTGCAAGTACTTAAAATTTGGAACGTCCAGAATAAAATGCTGTGGGAAAAATATGTCTTGTAAGTAAATTATTGCAGTCTTCATAACCCTGAAATAATAGTTTCTTATGGGAAATAGTTGTGCTTCAGAGCTTCAAATTTTGTCCCCCACTAAGATATAATTTTATAATCTCATGACATTAACTTATCTTCTGTAACTGAAGAGGGCATAATCTTACCTTATTGGTTAAAAAATTGTGGTCTTCACACATGTTCACTAGTGAGTAGATAGGGATACAGAGAGGATAATCCATTTCTATATTTTGATAGTGGATTAGAACAATGAGATGATAATATACTTCTGTTTTTCGGATTAGATAGGAACAATGAAAGAAATCCATTTCTTTTTTTTATGACTAAAAGTACCCTTTTGAACTTAACGGTCCATGGGTACACGTGATTGAAGTGACGTTCACTCGTTTCAGTGACCTCTGCATATGAAAGAATGGTGTAGTTAGCACTATGCCTAGCCACCTTAACTTTCCCTAACATGAGTCAGGTACTCATCAGAGCTGGGTGGACTCATGGGTGTGACTCAAGCTGGGATCTAAACTCAAGACTTTTGGGTTAGCAGTTGAACACACTACCATGCGACCATGCCGTCCTATTTTTAGGAGTGGATTAGAACAATGAGAAGATAATCCACTTCTGTATTTTGTAGTGTCATTGGGATAATTTTTATATTCTTGTTTGAGACATTTATTTATTTTTTTGCTGTGACAAGTTACTGTTTAAAACTTGTCAAATATAAATTGTGTGATAAACTGTTAAAAACTTGTCAAATATAAATTGTGTGATAAACTGTTAAAAACTTGTCAAATATAAATTGTGTGATAAACTGTTAAAAACTTGTCAAATATAAATTGTGTGATAAACTGTTAAAAACTTGTCAAATATTTGCTTTCACAGAAAGAGAAAACACATGAAGGAGGAACTTGGTGTAGCAGGCGTCAAGGAAAGGCTACTCTTCCATGGAACAGATGAGAATAATGTGGCAGCCATTTGCAACACGGGTTTTGACATGAGAGTCCCAACTGTCAATGGTCGCAATTTTGGCAAAGGTGGCGTAGTATTATACTCTCATGTTTTATTGATGTAACAGAGGGCAAAAGTTATATTGTCTTGTGCTAGAAGAATTAAGAAGTAGTGAAATATTACGAAGTCAATATCATTTGATGTTGTTATATAAAAAGTAAAATTCCCCTACCAGAACTAGTGATCTGTAGGGCTAATGAAGTAGAATTCATGTGGTCAGCACTATTCCCAGCAGTCTATACTTGCCCTAATGTGAATTAGATACCCATCATGAGTCTGGACTGAAATCCCAACTTGATACTTTTGACTAGCAGTCGAACGCTGTTCCACCCGACCATGTGCCCCAATTATGTTTTTAATATGCTGGTCCATTATCATCTATATTAACTGAATGCATCTAATCCTACGCTTGCTTCTCATTACAATTTAAGTCACATATCTTATAGATTTCAGGATTTACTCACTGAATGCATCTAATCCTACGTTTGCTTCTCATTACAATCTAAGTCACACATCTTATACTGTCTTATAGATTTCAGGATTTACTCACTGAATGCATCTAATCCTATCCTTGCTTCTCTTTACAATCTAAGTCACGCATTGTATAGATTTCAGGATTTACTCACTGAATGCATCTAATCCTATCCTTGCTTCTCTTTACAATCTAAGTCACGCATTGTACAGATTTCAGGATTTACTCACTGAATGCATCTAATCCTATCCTTGCTTCTCTTTACAATATAAGTATAATAGTTAGAATTCACAAGATTTCAATAGTTAGTTTTATTGCAAATCAGGTCATTCAGTGACTGAATGTCTCGGGTTGTTTATTAATTTACATAGATCATGTAGATAATTGATCTTTTTTTATCTACTACCATAGTTTGTACATCCCTTAAAAATAAATTGAAAATGTTTGTCATTTTTACTTTCTGGTATGTAGAGTACAGGGGGAATTACTGTATTAGTAAAAAATTGTTTTATACTCTTGCATGTATGTCTGTTTGTCTCTCATTAAGAAACTGCATTGCATATCCCTTGTTTTTAGAAGACTGTTTCAAGAGAGCTCAAAGATTTAAACTTAGTTCAATTCTATCTAAATTATCTCGAAGCTTCCAACTTAGTACATTTCTATCTAAATTATCTCAAATTATTACATATCTGTGTTTGTTACCTCAGGGATCTACTTCAGCACTTGGGCTCAATACTCACAGAGGTACTCAAAACAAGGCAAGATGATGATCATCACTAGAGTGCTGTGTGGCAAGTCTTGTTTAGGCTACCCAAGTCTGACACGACCCCCACCTGACCAGTCTGGACGCCTGTATGACACCTGCGTCAACTCACCAATGTGGCCCACAATATATGTTGTCTTTGATAACTCACAATGTTATCCTGGAATATTAATCCAGTGGAAATGAACCATTATATGTTTATATATATATATATATATATATATATATATATATATATATATATATATATATATATATATATATATATATATATATATATATATGTACACACACATATATATGTTTGCTTTATAATTTTTGTCATCACCTTTTTGAAATCTTAGGTACAAATTAAAAAATATATGGGCCTACACTTGTTTATTTTATGTACTATGCATTTTCAAATGACTTTTTAAATGTTGCTGTATTCTCCACAACTTCTTTATATTAAACATTTTAATTTGTGTATATTTTTCAATACTTTCAATATTTATCTAAATATATGTAGACCTACATATATATATATATATATATATATATATATATATATATATATATATATATATATATATATATATATATATATATATATATACATATAGCCTATATTTTAAAGGATATTTTATGTTTATATATATATATATATATATATATGTGAAATATATAAATGCTAATATATATATAGTAGCCTGATAGGCATAATAATTTATCATTAAACACTGAAATAAACAAATAATTGAAAAATCTCGTGTCCAGAGACCTGTACAATTGAAATAGTTTAAGTTTTCTTATACCTTTACCTATTATTGCTATTGTTATGTCTCTTCCCCAGAACCAAACTGTTCTAACTTCATTTTTTAATCTAGATTTATACACCATTGTGTTGTGAATTTACCAAAGTAAAAACATTCTTGGCCATATGTCTTACCACTATTAGACATTAATTTTAATTAATTTTTACCAAGTGCTTAATATGTAAATGTTGATGAAAAAAAACTTTTAAGCCTTATTGTAAACATTTTTTTTAAATTGGACTTTATTTGTGATACTTTTATGTATATTTTTTTGCTTTTTTACACCTATGAACCCACAACATTGTGATAGAGGCAATATAATTTACTTATTTTTTATATTCATTATTACACATTTATCAATTTTAAGATAAAAGAATTCCACTTTATTTTAAATTTTTGTGTTGATTTCAAAGCCTTATAATAAAATTATAAGCCAGAATGTGTTTGTGTTAACCTGTAGTTGAGTAATGTTGGGCCACTCCAACTCTCTTTTTAAAAAAATTGTTAAATAATTCTTTCTCATGTCAGCTAAAGATGGCTTAGTTATAGCAAGTCTGTTTGATCCACATTCAGCTTAATCCAGTATTTAAACCAATATATTAGAATTGAAATATTTAAAAAAAAAATTAGACATGAAAATTAAAAAAAATAAAAATAATTAAGTTTCAGATTTTCCTGTTACTAAGGGAAATAACTTATACTTGATATTAGAATGTACGAAACAGAACTCAATTTAATACACATTAAGAGACAATTGATTTTTTACGACATTGTGATGATTCTAATGTGGCTTTTATAAACCAGCTGCTTCTAGCACCAAAAGCCTAAAGATTTTATTTTTTTCTGGGCTATGTAGGCCTATTATGATTGTCAATCCATCGTGGGCTGAGTGAAGTTGAGGCTAGACAAGTTGACTGAACACGGTTCTTAAAAACACGAACTTTACTTGACCTGTTCTATGAACTGCCAGCCGAAAAAGGGTATGCCTACCTACCATATCAATTTATTGCTTAACAAAAGTTGCACTGGCGTACCGAGGCGGCAGAGTTTCTTCCAGGCATCTCTTCGGGGGTCAAAGCCCCTCGAAAAAAATCTACCGTCCCCACCCCCGAACGAAATGAAATTTATATAATTTATATAGAAAATATATACTTTTGACAGTGTCCGCCCCCCCCCCCCCGAAGAAAGTCTACCGCCCTCCCGCCCCCCACCCCCCGAAAATTTCAAGTGCCCCCCGGAGAAAAAAGTCTGGAAGAAACACTGCGAGGGGGAGAGGGGCTAGATGCCCCGGGTGGCATTTTTAAGCGTGGCATTTGCGTATTTGAAAACTTCAAAACTGAAAAGGAAAAAGGGATAGGAAAAAAAAATAATGAGAAGAAAGAAAGTAGATAAAATTCAATTAAAAAACATCTTTTTAATACCGTCCCTTGACATTACCGTCTTTTGACCTCAACAAAAGCACGAAATGTCCATGCTCGAATCGCCGTATACGAAAAAAATGAAATTTCCACATACTGACCTTTCACTCAAAAGGCAGTATTATTATTCCGGGAAACTTAGCTGTATCCTATTTGTCACATAATATTCGTTACGAATTCATGAAATGTCTGTTCGATCGAGCATCATTGATTTTTTTAAGCAAGCAAAATACTTTACCATCGTGTTTGACAGCACAACAGGCCTTTCACGTGTCCACCAAATGTCTGAGATTCTTTGCTATGTTGACACAAATGAAGAAAACGTAGAAGATAGTTTTTTTGTCGATTTTTTTTTTCACAGATCAAATTTTCACGAAGCTTGTGGAAGATGTTCTAAGGCCAAGATTAAGATATATATTATGTTGGCTGGTACCTCATTTAATACCCCCCCCCCCCCCTCTTTCCTCCAGCGTGGCCTATTTAACAATTCAGATACGACCCGGCAAGAAACCATTGTTCTCTCTTCCCCTTCCCCCGTTTCCCACTTGACCCTAGGTCACATCCTGGGACAGGACGGAGGTTAGGTTGTCGCAAGGAGATCAGAGTCGAGCTATGCTTTGGATGGAGTAGATGTGTATGGGTGTGCTAAGGCTGTACCGTTGTTGTTTAGCTGTTGCTGTACCTGTCGACGTGATGTCCTGTCCTGTGAGCCGCTGTCGTTGTACCTGCGGCTAGATGCTGTTGCTGTCAGAGGCGTAGCGATGGGGGGAAGGGGGTACATATGTCCCCGGGCGCCGACCTTAGGAGGCGCCAAAATGGGTTGTAAGAACAAATTAAAGAATCATTTTAGCTGCATTTTAAATTATAAATAGTTTGAGGGGGGAGGGTGCTAATCAAAAGTTTAAGGGGGGGGGGGCAAATTGAAAATTTGCTCCCGAGGGGGGCGCCAAATTTAATGTTTGTCGCTACGCCTCTGGTTGCTGTACCTGTCATCGAGATGTCAACCCGAGGCTGTGTCACCGAGAAGCTGTCCTGTTGACCGTCCCTGTTATGTCGCTGTATGTATGGCTGGGTAGTTGTGAGTACCGGTACTGAAAGTATGTAGAGTGATGATAGTGTTATTCGTTCTGGTTATTGTAACACTGTAATCTATTGTATTGTCTGTAATAAGTAATAAATGTATTGAAATGCTAAGTTTTATTTTTAGTTGTATTAGTGTGAAGTAATTAGTTTGCTCAGGTCTTTTAGCCCTTCCTGTTCCAACGGGAATGCTACGGATTAGAGAGAATAGTTACCAATACCATCTCTCTCTACCAATCGGTTAACAAACAACCCCACCTTACACACACACACATATATATATATATATATATATATATATATATATATATATATATATATATATATATATATATATATATATATATATATATATATATATATATATATATATATATATATATATATATGGGGCTCCTTTTGCCTCGCGAGTCAATGGAATATTGCGCGTACCTGGGCATCAAATGAAGAGATCATGGGTTGCCAATGCGTCATAATCCCTCTCTCAGCCAATACATTTGGCACCAACTCACTTGCAGAAGCAGCCGAAAGGAGACCAATCTGGTGATCCTATCGCGTATGAGGCTACGCTCCTGATTTTTTAATCAAGGTTTACCCCTGAAGCCGTTTTACCGCAAATCAGCGGGGATTACAATCCTCTCCTAGATGAATCGCCTCACTAGGCTGATGAGCCACATCAGCTCCCTTTTTGTGTCAGTTATCCGCCATCCAATGGGGATTTGCTGAGTGTCTTCCCAACCTAACCATATTTTTAACAATGAGCGTCAGTGTCGCCAGCTGCAAAAGGATTTTTTTCAAAACTTAAATTGATCAAACCGTATTTATTTAAATTAAGGTCTAACATGAGTCAGGCAAGACTAACAAATTTGGCGATTTTGTCAATAACGTCTTAAATTTGTTTTGCTAAGGTCCGGTTTTTAAACAAACCTTTTTTCCAGGAAAAGTTAAAATCCTAACCTTGATCTAGGCCTACTTTCTTTTGTTTTTATTTAAGCAAGGCAGGTAATCTAGAAAATCTAAATGTATGATTAATTTCGTAGGTTATTATTTCAGGCGTGTTGTATATAATAATTATGACACACCACTGTCACTTCATTGTCTGACATAACGGATTCTTGGGTGAATACGAAATTGAGAATAATGAAAGGAAAAATTTAACATAGATTTCGATTTTTAGAATTTTTTAGATCTATAGGCCTACCCTTCTATTAATAGATCTAGATCTAGGTCTAGTTTGTAAAAAGCTTAGATCTTTATTTCTGGTAAATAGGCAACTAACCTGGAAATAGAATGAATACTCAGAATAGGATTAGGAATCTAGATCTAGATGAGTAGATGTAGGACAATTAATGTAGGCCCTAATGGTATACCAATTTTCTCACTAGAAGAAATATTAACTAGATTAGATCTAAGTAAAATAAGCAATTTTGGTAATCTATCGTTTTGGGTACGTAAAATCGCCCGCGGCTATTTATGTACGAAAACGTTACCTCATTGTCAAGGCTTTAATAGAAGTATATTGTCATACTTTTGTGTCAAATATTATAGATAAATGAATAATAAACCTAAATCAATGGCTAAATATATCGATATAGGCCAGAAATTAACTTTAAACAGCAGTGTCTGAGAGCAAGATTTGCTATATATAAACAGCAGCCATTTGTAAAATAGAGTGGCTTCCCCCTGAATCTGGCGCTAAAAGCTTATAAAAATAAAACTTAGACAAGATGGCTGCTATAGTAGATGAGCATGGTTGCATCTGTTGGAAACATCGCTAGTCTTCATTTATTACGGAATAGTTTTAATTCAATTGTGTAAAAACAGGTACATAAATGAATCAAGGAAACATTTTTGAATTTTTTAAAACATAAATCCTCCTCAAAATGTGAAATAATTATTAAAACTTAAGGAGTCACCTGTTTTTCACATTACAAATCGCGGGCGATTTTACGTACCCAAAACGATAGATTACCGCAATTTTTGATATCACATCTGATTTATCACTTATTATCAGTCACTTAAGTCTTAAGTTTCACTTATCACTTAACTAATAAATAAGTAGTAGGTCTATTTGTAATTTTCAAGTTGCTAGATTAGTTTTTAACTGTAAACCTTAAACCTGACATAATACATAAGGCATGGTAAGGCCCTTTTTTTTTTTACAATAAACATTGAAACAACGTCTGTTTTTATCAATACTATTCTTTGATACTAATAATTAAAATGTTTTCAGCCTTGTTCCTTTGTATCACCACAATGGAAAATTAACCAATGAATTATTCATCTACCAGTAAATACTTTAATCCATTAAGTTGGATTGCTAAATTATTAGATCATGACGATACAGATGCTTCCAATAAACAAATAATGGATTCTTATGCTGGTGCTTCGTCTATTGGCAATCAATCTGAAGAATATATAAAAGAAAGTCAAAGAGAAAGAATGCTGTTAAATAAACTTTCAAGTTATAGTTTAAATAGTGTAATGCAAAACCATCAGGAGAATGCCTCAACGGATGCCTCAAACAAGGGATTAATTTGTTCTGAATTTCCTTTAGTAACATCACCATCTTCAGTAGCATTGTCTTGTTCAGAAACTCCATCTCATTCTGAAACAACACGTCTTTCAGAAACATCACCTTCTCCAAAAATAAATACAGCGCATCAACTGAACACAATGTGGTTAGATAGAAGCTATAAAAGGAAACTATGCCCTCCGTCAAAATCATCTGATGTAGCTGCGTCTTCCAGCAAGTCTGATGAGGATGACTGGCCAGTGTTAATCCCGAGCAAAAAATTTGCCTCACCCAGTAAAATCATCACCAGTAACGAGGTTCAAACCCCACATTGTTTAGAAGATTATGACGTATATATAACAGAGGTTTTTATACCGCAACGTAGGGATCCCATCAGAAGGAACATGAAAGATACCAAATTTTGTAGCCAGCCTCAGTCACAAGATAGTCAAATTTTTGATGATACAAATATCTTTCAAATAAAAAATGAACCAACTGAAAACTTCATGCCTGTAAACTCTGTTACACAAGAGAGAAATATGAACACTATTCAAATTAAAGATGAACCAACTGAAAAGTCAAAGCCAATGGACTCTGACATTCAAAGCATCATAAAAAGTGAACTTTCAAAATGCTTCAGAGAAGTCTACCCTACAAAAAAATGGGGGTTTGACAAACTTTCTGATAAAGGTAGGAGACATATATTCAATTCTTTTTATTGAGCAAGACCTTTAAGTTACAAAAGATACAAGCAAAGTGTCATTCTAGAGCAGTAGTTAACATACATTATATGATGTTTATTGAATGTTATATGACAGTTGCGATGTGTTCATGTTTTTGGTGAGGGGAAATACATATATTAAAAATATATTAAAGCAATTTTTCGTCTGGTGTTAGCTTATGCTAAATTTAAAATATTTATTAATTTGAATCATCATCTTTTTAAATCATATAATTTACATCTGTAACTATTTTCTCTTTATCAAGTTAGTTAATTAATTGGAGATCTTATTTACATACATATATTTATATTTTATTTAGGTACATGTGCCCTACATTACATAGAGGGCTTATGTATGAAAGTATGTGTAAATTTAAAAAAAATTCTTTAGATGAAACCAAAAGTCCTGTCAAGCCAGGGGATAGATCTGTGTCAAGTCTAATTGTCAGCACAACTCCATCCAGTTCTGTGACTCAGTATGCTACAGCTGACCACACAATGGACATTAGACCTTTAGTAGCAGTACCTATTTACACAGTAAGATACATGATTTTAGCAAATTTCAATTTATAAACATGGATTACATATTAAAGGCCAATTATAGAAATTAATAAAGAATTACCACATCTACAATGTAGCATAATAAAACATATTTCCATGAAATAGGATAAAATAAAAGTGTTATATTATAATTAGTTTGTATTTGCGCAATTTTCTGTTTGCGATGTTTTCCGTTGCAGTTTTCTGATTCCTTCTTTAGACAAATCTAAAAGTTTTGAATTACATTATATAATGACATTTTTTTTCCGTAAATTGATTCTAATTTTGGTGATTTTGTTTTAAAACAAAGGTTGTTTTCCTAGTTAGGTTTATAAATCAATTATTATTTTAGATGGTGTAATGATTTTCCAAAAATTAAGTATTAATAAATTTTTTCTTCTTTTTTCTTTTTCAACCTCCAAAGCCAGACAGAAAACTAATTGATGACGCAAACATCTTTAAAACAAACCATGAACCAACTGAAAGCACACACTCAGTTGCGCTAGACAGAAATATGAATACCATTCTAATTAAAAATAAGCCAACTAAAAAGTCAAAGCCAATAAACTCTGACATTCAAAGCATCATAGAAAATGGATTTGAAGAACTCCTAAAAGAAGTTAACCCTGCTAAAAACTGGATATTTGGCAAACTTTCCAACAAAGGTAGGAAAAATATATTTGTTTTTGCTCTGTATTGAACAAGTAATTTTTAAAACCTTCAAGTTACTGACAATACATAAATCTAAAATTACATTCAATAGTAGAAGTAAATCTACATTATATGATGTATTTTGAATGTTATTTGACAGTTTCAATGTTTTCAGGTTTTTTTGGTGAGGGGAAATATAATATAAAGCAATTTTTGTCTGGTCTTAGCTAACGCAATTAATTAAAAATATTTATCTATTTGAATCATCATCTTTTAAAATAATATAATTTATATCTGTCATTAAGTTCTCTTTTTCAAGTTAATTAATAAAATGGATATCTTATTTTTATACCTATGTATATACACTTTTTAAAAAGCCGTATTTTATATATGTACACACGCCCTACATTATTTAAAGGGTCTATGTATGTATGAATGTATGTGTAAATATTTTTAAATTCTTTAGATGAAACCAAAAGTTCTGTCAAGCCAGGGGATAGATCTGATTCTAGTCCAACTGTCAGCACAACTCCATCCAGTTCTGTGACTCAATATGCTACAGCTGACCACACTATGGACATCAGAGAGTCAGACACAGAAACTGGAGTTAAAGAGGCCCAACATTCTGGACCAACAGTAGCAGTACCAGCCATTACTTACTTGTACGCTGTAAGAAACATTCTCAACATTTTGAAACTATTATGTATGAGCATAGGTATATATATATGGGACGGTGTGGCCTAGCAGTAGAGAGCTAGACTGCTAACCTGAGTCTTGAGTTCAAATCCGGGTTCAAGTCAGTGGAACTTTCCTGAGTCCACCCAGCTCTGATGGGTACCTAACTTACGTTAGGAAAACAAAGGCGGCTAGGCATAGTGCTGACCACACTATCATTTCATATGCTGAGGACACTGAAGCAGATGAACCCTAAACCTAACCCCAACTCTCCATGTAGAGAATTATATATATAGATTATATTACCACGTTCTGATTCTGTTTTTACAATAATTCTGAAAAGTTTGTTTCATAGCAAAGTCAAAAACTTGAAACTATTGACAAAATAAAAAGGGAAATTAAATGTTGCATTTATGGTTGCTTGAAGTTAAAAAAAAGGAAAATTCATTAACATGTTTTAATAACAAGCTTTTATATAATTATGCACTAAGGAGGAGAAAATTAAATACATAATAATGCACCCTTATTTAAATAACTAAAAATAAAACAATGAAATAAAAAATATTATCCCTGGCTAATTAATATTACAAATGGGCTATGATTTTCAAATTTTGAAATGATCAAAGATTTTTTGTCTTCGCAGTTATGTAATGTGTGCAAGTCATCTGACATTGACATCAAGTTTGCCACCTGTAGTAGCCATCATAAAATCTGCAAATCTTGTGTCCAGCCTAAAGTTGATGCTGTCTTTCTAGATGGGCAAACGGTAGTTTGATTTACATAAATATAAACAAGAGATTTAACATAAAAAGAATGTATAATTTTTTTAAACATAGTTTAGTCTGTCATATTTATTGGCTGATAATTATAATTTAAAGATTTTTAATGCGTTACAGCATCCATGAAGTTAAAACTTTGTTTCTGATTAGAAAAGAGTTGTTGTTTTGTGAATGCTTCACGTTCTGATTTCTAAATGGATGTTTCTTATTTTGAATTCCTGTTTCTTGTTTCTTATCTTGATTTTTGGGGTGCATGTTTTTAATTTTCAGATGCATGTTTTTAATTTTCAGATGCATGTTTTTAATTTTCAGATGCATGTTTATTGTCCAGAAGGATTATGCCAGGGGATAATTGCAATTGGTCAGCATATATTATAATTATATTTCAATAGAATAATTAAAATTAGGCTTATCCTAAAAATGTATCTCCCCCCCCCCCCTCCCTTGTGGCACCTCCTAATTTGGCTATTTCCCTGTGTGTTTACAACTTAAATATATTTAATGTGAAATGTAAATTTTGAAGAAGTCATACTTATCATTACACATAAGACTATTGGAAAAACATTTACATAGCTTTATTTCTTTAGTTCTATTAAAAAGATGTTGAAGTTTTTTTTACAGATTCACTGGAATCTTTACTGGACAATAGTTTGTTTAGCCTACTCAAGCTTAAGATCCAACAGAATGAAAATGAGGCTTCTTCTCGATTTATCCAAAACATGGAAGGTATTTTCAGGTGAGAAAACATTGATTATTTAATTTCTTTTTGGATAAAATAGTTATTAATATATTGAGTAACGATACTACGACCTATTCCTTGCTGAGATTTCAGCTTTATTAGTCCTGGTGAAAACCTAAGCTGTGTGATAAAAAAAGTGTGAAATAAATAATTTTTAATGCTGGAATTTGTAGAATTAAAAAAATTTTCATTGCAAATAAGGGAAGTAATTAAATGGTATGGGAAAAAATTCTAAGACATTTTGTTCATAAATATAAAAAAACACAACTGCAGTAATATTTATATATACAGTATATATATAAACAATATATATATACAGTAATATCTAAAAATGTTTTTACTAATTGTTTAAACTTTTCTAGCTGCCCATCATGCTCCTTTAAGGTGCTATTAGACAGGGAGAGGCTGGTTTACACCTGTAGAAATAAAGCTTGTTCTGTGGTGAGGATTTTTTTTTTCCCACTATACATACACATTTAGCAACATGAAACAGATCTATACACACACATATAATAAATAAATAAATATATATATATATATATATATATATATATATATATATATATATATATATATATATATATATATATATATATATATATATATATATATATATATATATATATATGTGTGTGTGTGTGTGTGTGTGTGTGTGTGTGTTTATATATACATGTATATATACATGTACATATACATGAATATATTCACATGTATATATCATTGTATGCTTATGTATATATTGACATGTATAAATTCACATGCATATATACTCATGTATATATATCCACATATATAGATATATTATGTTGATTTCCAGAAATGCTGCCGCTACTGTAAATGTTCTATACAGCCACAAGACAAGCATGAGGAATGCTGGCTGCTGGACTTGGCTGGCACTGAATGTCTGGAAGACATTTCTAAACTCCCAGTCAACTGGAAATGGAGTTCTACCACTGGGTGCAGCTTTGAACTGGTTTGTTGTCTTTTTGTGACTTAAAATAAAATTGTAAAATTAAGATTTTTTAAATTTAACTTTTTTAAAAGTTTCAAATGGGAAATAATATTACAGGGAAATTATGCTTTAATTTAGATGAGACACATTTGTTTGGCTATGTTCTTTCTTGAAACACAGGATTTTACTCGGCTGTTGCTCGACCTACATTTTTTACCGTCGTTATGGTAATGATGGCCGCCGAAAACAGCAATACCAGGGTTTCATTTTTTAACAATGTTTCATGGTCGTTTCAACAACACATACTTGTAATAGTTATTTTTGTGTTTTATTAAAATGAGGCTGATCTAGTTTTAATAATGGATAATTAGTATTTGATGTAAACTTGTCTTTTGTACATCTTTTGGCTTAATAGTTTAGAATATTGAGATAAACATTAGGTCTAAAAAAAGTTTAATTCTGTATTGACTTGCCTTCATTGCTCCTTATAGAATATAGGGCCTCCACCATTTTCTTCCATATTGTCCGATCCCAGCTATTAATTTTGCCGTCTCCCAAGACATCCCTGTTGGCTTCAGTTCTTCGAGAAGACTCCGTCTCTAGGTCTGTCTTGGGCGCCCTCTCTTCTGCTTTCCCTGGGGTTCCACTCAAGTGTCACATTTGGTTGAGCCTTTCGCAGTGTGTGTCACATCCAGCGCCACTTCCTCCTTATTTGCACGGTCACAGGCTCCTGCCTTGCCTTTCTCCATAGTTCTATGTTTGGCACTTTGTCCTGCCACCCCAATTTCAAAATCTGTCTAAGGCATTTGTTCATGAAGGTCTGTTTCTTCTCTCTGCTTGCCTTGGAGACTCTCCAAGGGGTAGGGGCCAGACCAAACGTTGTGTCCTGGTCCTCCAAGTTGGGGGTTGTGTGATGGGCTAACTACTCGTCCACATAAAACAAATTATAGTTACAGAAACCAAAGCCAAATCTGAAAAAATACTGTATTTAATACTAATGAAAACACTGAAACTTTGATAAAATATAGAAAATTATACATCTTACTAAACTATTGTCATTAATTGGAAAACTTTATAAAAAATATTATGCCTATTTTGTTTTGCCATGTATTTGAATGGGCAGAAATCTAGCAGATAACACTTTTCTGCTGAACAGTCTATTGTGTCACAATGCACTCCTTAAAAACTAACCCACTGCATCAGTCATGGCATCGTAGCCATTTCATAACAAACACGTCTTTTCAAAAAATAATTTTCTAGTCTACCGATTGATTTTGATAATTAAAATTAGTATCAAATCAAAGATACATAAATGTAGTTTTAATTGTTTAAGTAATCTTGAACAATAATGAAGTTTAAAATTTTTGGCATCACCCTAATTTTACTTGAGTATGTGGCCAGTCCTCTTGTTTAACTTAGTATTTGAGAATTTATCTGGCAAATGATTTGGTCTAACTTATTTTAAAAGGAAAAAAAATGTTTTTTGTCCAGGTGGAGCTTGACTCAACTGGTGAAGAATTTCAAAAGTGGTCGACCTTTTTAAACAAAACAACCTGCACAAAAGTACTGAATATTTGGAACGTCCAGAATAAAATGCTGTGGGAAAAATATGTCTTGTAAGTAAACTATTACCATCTCCGTAATCCTGAAATAATAGTTTCTTAACATGGAAATCAGTTGAATTCAGGTGCATATAATAACCGTATTACCATACAAACCTCTATATATTTTGGGAGGGAATAAGATGATATCATTCTTATCTAATCCCAAATACAGAAGATTAAGAGGATAATCCATTTATCTGTTTTGGGTGTGGATTAGAACAATGAAAATAGAATCCATTTTCTGTATTTTTTGGAGTGGATTAGAACAACTAAAATCTTAATGTATATAATCCCATGTGCGCACTTCTCTCTCCGCATGTTCTGAGGCTATGAGATTATGGTGAGGGGTGGAAGCAGGCGTTGTAACTGAAATAGCAATGTAAACAGAAAGTGTTATTTCAACGCCAAGGGTAGACAAAGGTACAGAATAAGTCCAAGTAAAGACTGACTGTTCTGTCTTTACTTGGACTTATTCTGTACCTTTTTCTACCCTTGGCGTTGAAATAACACTTTCTGTTTACATGGCTATGAGATTAGTATTTTCAGTGATATATGGAGATATATGTGGGATGGAGTTGTCTAGCGGTAGATAGCTAGACTGCTAACCCGTAAGTCTCGAGTTTGAATCCGGGTTCAAGTCCGTAGACCGCCCCTGAGTCCACTAAACTCTGATGGGTACCTAACTCACATTAGGGAAAGTAAAGGCAGCTGACCATAGTGCTGACCACACTATCTCTTCATATGCCAAGGTCACAGAAACAAGTGAACTCTACTTCTGCTTTGTCTAACATTAAAATATATCGGCCTATAGTTTATGTAAAATGGGTGCCCATGGATAGTAAGAAGATAATCCACTGTTGTATTTTATTGTGTCATTGGGATAATTTTAATTTTCTTGTTTGAGACATTTCTTTCTGTGACAAATTCCTGTTTGAAATTTGTCAATTCTAATTTTTTTTGCTAAATACTTGTTCAAAATTTGTCAAATATTTGCTGGCACAGAAAGAGAAAACACATGAAGGAGGAACTTGGCATGGCAGACATCAAGGAAAGGCTACTCTTCCATGGAACAGATGCGAGTAATGTGAACGCTATTTGCACACAGGGATTTGACATGAGAGTCCCAACCATCAATGGTCAAAGATTTGGGAAAGGTAGTGTAGTCTTATACTGGCATCTGGCAGTAAAGTAGACAAAATCACACCCTAAAAAGTGGGGTAGGCGTGGTCGAGTCGGTAAAGCTCATGGTTGCTGCACCGAAAAGTCTGGAGTTCAAACCCTCGGGCAGATGAGGCTCGTTAGCTGGGGACAGCCACTCTTCTAGGAGAGACAAATCCAAAATCAAACAACTGCTGCCTTGTAGTATGTTCTTGGTTGGACATGAGTCAATGGCCTCAATGGCGCATAACCAGTTGACACGTATCCTCCTTAATTGTGATGGAGGCGTGGTTGAGTCGGCAAAAGTTCATGCTTGATAAATTTGAAAAACACTCGAGTTCAAACCCCAGGCTTGATCCCTTCCAACACTAAAAATTAAGAACAAAGAAGAAGAAGACACCCTAAAATCTAAAAAATTTAGTGACGGCATCTTTTACATAACTCCATTCTAGAATAAAGTCATGTAAAAAAATTTCCAGTTGGTAAAGCATATATATTTCCTTCAATTTTATGTATGGGACCTGATCATAGCAATACGCGATAGGCACGCTAGTTCATATATAAGTATTATATCCTATACATTTGTTTTTATCAAATTTACAATAACGTGAAGTGGCATAGGTACCTAATACAATTTTTGTTACCTCAGGAATCTACTTCAGCACCTGGGCTCAATACTCACAGAAGTACTCAAGACAAGGCAAGATGATGTTCATCACTAGAGTGTTGTGTGGCAAGTCTTGTTTAGGCAACCCAAGTCTGACACGACCCCCACCTGACCAGTCTGGACGCCTGTATGACACCTGCGTTGATTCACCAATGGCGCCATCTATGTATGTTGTGTTTGACAACTCACAATGTTACCCTGGAATATTAATCTGGTGGGAGTAAACTATTTTAAAACTATATTCGCATATACATATATAAAAAGCATATTTTGCTTTATAATTTTTATCATCACCTTTTGGTACAAAATTAAAAAAAAAATGGACCCTACAGTTGTTTTATTTTATATAGGCTACAATGCATTTTAAAGATACAGAATTTATACATTTTCTAATGACTTTTAAAACTTTACTGTATTCTTCAAAACACTTGTATTTTTGTTACATTTTAATTTGTGTACATCATCAATTTTTTAAGTATTTATTTAAATAAATGTACATATATTAACTTTTATATTTTTAAAATTCATATATATATATATATATATATATATATATATATATATATATATATATATATATATATATATACTAAGAAAGATAGATACATATTAATATATATAGCCTGCTTTTATTTTCTTTTATTTAGGTTATTGGTTGGTTTAGAAATTTATCATTAACCGCTCAAATAAACAATTAATTAAAAATGTGTATGTCCAGAGAACTGTACAATATTGGAACAGGTAAAGATTTTCCAGGCTGTTAATCTTATCCCAATCGTTGCCATTGTTATATTGTTTTTCCAGAACCAGACTGTTATAACGTCATTTGTTTTTCTAGATTTATACACCATTGTGTTCTGGATTCACCAAGGAGTCGTGTTAAAATTTCTCTGGGCCTTTGTCTTACCAATAAAACACATTAATTCATTTTACCATGTGCTTAATAATATATACATGTTGAGCCTTTTTGTTATCATTTAAAAAACTGGACTTTTTGTTTATTTGTGATACTGCTATATGTGTATTTTACATTTTTTTTTACACCTATGAACTCACCACATTGTGATTGTTGAGACAATTTTATTTTACTTTTTTTATATTAATTATTTGACACTCATTCATTTTGAGATATAATTATTCCACTTTATTTTAAAATTTTGGTTTTGATTTCAAAGCCTTGTGATAAATTTTGAAGCCAGAATGTGTTTGTGTTAACCTACAGTTGAGTAACGTTGGGCCAATCCAACTCTCTTTTAAAAAAATGTTAAATAATTCTATCTTATGTCAGCAAAAGATTTGCTTTAGTTATAGCAAGTCTGTTTGATCCCCATTCAGCTTAATCTAGTGGGATCCCCATTCAGCTTAATCCAGTGGGATCCCCATTCAGCTTAATCTAGTGGGATCCCCATTCAGCTTAATCTAGTGGGATCCCCATTCAGCTTAATCCAGTGGGATCCCCATTCAGCTTAATCCAGTGGGATCCTCTCTAATCCATGGGATCCCCATTCAGCCTAATCCAGTATTTATGTGTTACATTAGATTAACCACAGGGATCAAGCTTAGACTGGTTCCTTTGCTAAAATTTACCATGTGCCCTTTACTATGCATTTTTAAAAGCTTTAAAATTGAAATCTGAGCCACCTAACTACTGCATCGATGGCTTTTCATTAGCCGTTGATTATCAGTTTAATAGATACACTGTTGTGTTTTATTGATGTTTCGTAATTGAATGCAAGTTTTAAAAATAGTTATTAGTGTGGTGGTGGTGAATGTTTCAAGTATTTTAAAAATTGACTCGGTGTAAACTAACAAATTCAATTATTATAATTCACTGTATTATGTTTTCAAAGCTAAATGGCAGGATTGTTCAAATGTTTAATAAAATGTGTTTTTGTTAGGCTTTATAAGAAAAGAAAGCTGAAATCTGAGTCCACAGCCTATTTGGCCAGTAACAAGTTGACACGTAAAACTTAATTGTGTCTGAGGAAATTTTGTCCAACATTATAATTAAGAAGGAAGAAGACATTAGAGTAGGCATTAAAATATCTTTTACATTACATGAAATTTTTCCTAATATAAATTGAACAAACAGTGTTGAAAAATCTTTATTTAATGTTCTATATTGTATTAACTAAACATTCTGTTATAGAATTTTTTTAATGCCTAAAAATCCTTTTATTAGCTTTGGTATAAGTATCATCTTCATTTTTTGATCCAATTTATATCATACTTACGATACGTAAGTTAAGTAAATTTCCCATTATTGAATCCGATGGTCCATGGGGGACGTAAAGTGGAGTTTGGCATATGAAGGGATTGTGTGAACAGTACAATGCTCAGCCACCTTTATTTTCTCTAATGCGAGTTAGGTATCAACCAGACCTAGGAGGACTCAGGGATGTTGTACTGAGTTGAACCCAGATTTGATCTTAAAAGAAAATATTTTAGATGTTTGATCTTGAGACTTTTTGGTTAGTAGTCTAGCGCCAAATGGTCCCATTATACCATTATATTGCACAAATAAAAGTAAGTATTTTAGTTTGGTGCAGGGAAGTAGGGGATTGAAGAATGTTTGGTGTAGGGAATTTGGGAATGGTAGAATGTTTGTAGGGAAGTAGGCAGATTGTAGAATGTTTGGTGTAGGGAAGTAGGGGATTGTAGAATGTTTGGTGTAGGGAAGTAGGGGATTGTAGAATGTTTGGTGTAGGGAAGTAGGGGATTGTAGAATGTTTGTAGGGAAGTAGGGGATTGTAGAATGTTTGTAGGGAAGTAGGGGATTGTAGAATGTTTGGTGTAGGGAAGTAGGGGATTGTAGAATGTTTGGTGTAGGGAAGTAGGGGATTGTAGAATGTTTGGTGTAGGAAAGTAGGGGATTGTAGAATGTTTGGTGTAGGGAAGTAGGGGATTGTAGAATGTTTGGTGTAGGGAAGTAGGGGATTGTAGAATGTTTGGTGTAGGGAAGTAGGGGATGGTAGAATGTTTGGTGTAGGGAAGTAGGGGATTGTAGAATGTTTGGTGTAGGGAAGTGGGGGATTGTAGAATGTTTGGTGTAGGGAAGTAGGGGATGGTAGAATGTTTGGTGTAGGGAAGTAGGGGATGGTAGAATGTTTGGTGTAGGGAAGTAGGGGATTGTAGAATGTTTGGTGTAGGGAAGTGGGGGATTGTAGAATGTTTGTAGGGAAGTAGGGGATTGTAGAATGTTTAGGGAAGTAGGGGATTGTAGAATGTTTGTAGGGAAGTAGGGGATTATAGAACCCTTTCTGTGTAAGATGCAGTTATTTGTGATATTGTGCTCATGTTGCTTTATCATTATGCTTACTATTTCAAAATGTTGAATATCATTAAACTACAGTTTATGATCTTTTACAATATATATATATAAATATATATATTTGGAGAACGGAAAACTGCGCTCAAGGGAATTTATTTTTTTGTAAATCGAGCATTTATAGACAATAACAAATAATGACCACATGTACATTGAAGCATAATAATTTTTTTTACGTGAAATATAACAAAATTAAACTGTATTAGTATTATTAGTTTATGTTTGCGCAGTTTTCCTTTGCAGTTATCTGCAAACTATTCATTTGTTTGTGTATATTAAACAAATTTTGACCACCCACCCCTAACCCCATGACAAGGTTTCTGCCTACACCACTGGTTTTGTTTACCTGTTCTTCCAATTTGAACCATGGCATTGTTGAGTTTTTTAATGTCTAATATTTGATTGGTCAACTTGACCTATGCAGACCTACCTAGTATGGTTAGCAATTTGGTAGACTATAAAATTAATGAAGTCACATCTTCAATGTAAGAATGCGTTGTGTCTAAAAGAGATTAAAATTTGTAGGCTTAGCTACTTAATATACATTTTGTATTTCTTGAAAATAAATGGTTGATTGTCCATTAGAATTATTTGAAAAAATTTTAAATGTTGTTTTTGGGGGAGGGCAGTTTTACAATTTGATGGTGAGAGATTAGCATAGCTCTAAATATGTGACTTCATTTACAGACTAACCGTACACCATATTTGATTAAATGTATGGCCTGTTTTATCATATATTTATGGTTACTTCCCCTGTGGTTAAGGGAAGTAACCATGTTTGTCTTGAGTTGGTCCAAAAATGATATTAGGTTTTTTTTTTGTCATAAATTTTTCCCTTCAATGCTTTGCCACAAAAAAACATACCTGCTCCAACCATAATTTTAACTAAAAATTAATCTTTCATTATTTTTTTTAAAGAACCATATTTTTAATTTCTATATTTCTACCTCCTCCGTAGATAAATCAGAATCCCTTTCCCTTTTTTTTTGTGTATGTAATCATTTATGAACAACCTCTTGACTATGCAAATGCATTTTTGAAGTATATTTTATTTTCATTTGTATTTCTAATTTACTATAAAATGTAGAAAATAAACTAAACAAATGACAATGACACTTAGTCCCAACCTTAGGGGCTGTAGATTAGTTAATGCCTTGGCTGGAATATCTGTGTTCAGTAAATAAAAAAACCAAATAAAAAGAAACTGCTGTTTTCAGTTTTATTGTTGAAATTTTTAAGGTTGAATAAGTAAGAAGGAAGAAAAAAAACTTTGCAGTTAAAGGATGGAAATATGCTTTCTGTGCTGTGGGGTATGTTCTCATCTCCCATCCCTTTGGGGGGGGGGATCATGTCCCCCTCTCCCATCCCTTTGGGGGGGGGGATCATGTCCCCCTGATCCTCTCCCTGTCCCCATGGGGGATGTGGTGGGGGGGGGGGGGGGAAGTACAGCTTTTCATCCAAGCCTGGGCTTGATCCAGTGCCTTGTGGCCAAACCACTATGCACTCTACCAGCTGGGCCCCCAATTGTGTGACTGTGTCTTTCATTTATATACTTTGAATGGCAAACCAACACTATGAGCTAAAAAGAACTACACTACACCTAACATGGTTTAGAACTCAGGTCCATTGAGGTTGAGAGGAAGACAGTTTACCCCTGTGCCAATTGCATTCACAAAACCTGTTCTTGATTATAACATAATAAAGAACACTTAAAAAAAAAATAAAAAAAAAATAATTATCTTTATCTTTAAGGTAGGCAACTTTATTTTAATTTTTTTTTTACTGAATTACATCCCCTGATATCGGCTTTTAGAAGTAATACTCAACTAATTGGTATACAATTTGTCATCAAGAGATCTCTGTCCTAAGTCATTCTCTCCCCTGGTTAAAGTGCTGTCACTGGCATATTGACCACAGGAATTACTATTAGTACTCAAATAAATGGTACGAGCCGGCCCGCGGCATAACATACGCCGCTATTTAGTTGTTTCTAATTTTCAATAATTCATAATTTGTGA